TTGGCTGGTATTTTATTGTTTCTTATCTTCCCGGATTCAAGGAAAGGTCCTCGGTTGGCTCCTACAATTCGGGCGGATAGAAGCAGAAACCAGGCTGGCACTTGGTCAAATAGTCACCCAAAAACTGGTCTTTTTTCGGGGCACCAGAATCGCATGTCTTATTTTGCCTTCGTTCAAAGTGAGGAATCACAGAGATTGACCAAACAAGCTGGAATCCACAAAAAAGGAACCAAACCTGGCAATGGAAGATGCCTGTCTTGACCAGGACAATCATCTGTATTTTCACTGCCAGGGGCAGGGTCTAGTTCTATATGGTTTCTGTATAAACGTTTTAATCCTTTATGAATCGTAGGTTCATTTTATGGAAATTACCTTGCAGTTAGCCATTGATCATCAGATGAACATAGATGAACCTTCATCAATTTGTCCATTCAGTTTGTCCTTCAATGAACCCAGTGACCGTCTCTGTTGGGTAAATCCCTACTTCTTTTTACCAATCTCTGATAAAATGTTCTTTCACATTGGATGAGTCACAGATTGGAGATTTGGTGAATCCCTTAAACATCAATGGTCTAAGTCTAAGTGGTGTGTGTCGTCCTTTTAACCCGGATTGTGCGGACCTTCGCATTTATATAATATACGTATATATATATACATGTATATACTCTATAATATATAACATAAAGATATATCTATAATCAAAAAATGATTTTTATACACAATATAAAATTTAATCTATACAGGAAATATAACGGCTACAGATAATATGTAATATAATATATACGCATAACATAACATAATATAATATAACATAATTTGATATAACACAATTTAATAAAGCATATACTGTAGTACATACCCGTATCTCCTGGAGATGGCGATGGAGAGAGATAACCGTATTTAGTATAATATATAAGACCTACTTTATATATAGATATATGTAACATCGTAAATGCCCATTGACATCGGCACGGCCCTGACGGCCCTGCCGCGTGTTAAAGGCCCGTCAGTCGGGCGTGGCCTTCTTTGTGGATCGCGCTGAAGCGGATCGATGGTGCGCTGAAACCGATGACGAGGCTGACCAGGCTGACTGGGGGATGAAACCAATCATGGGGATGGGGGATGGGGGATGGGGATCAACTTAACTTCGTTTTACGATCTGGTGGTGGACGGTGAGATGGAGCTATGGCTGTATCCACATTCCGTTTTAAATGGGGAGCGAAGGAGCTACTAAGAGTACCCACATGAAAGTGAAGATGATTTAATGGTTCATCCATTGTTTGGGAATCTACGGCGAGCGATTGGATTGTGTATCATCAGAAAGCACACGTTACCATTAAATGTTAGACATTTGTAGAAATTTGAAATTAAACATATATTTCACCACCAACCATGGGTGGAAAATAGGGTTGGATTTGTCCTTTTGAGACTCTGGCTGGCGGATTCCAACTTGTTTCTATTTGTAACCATGCCATACCTGGGGTGATGATCCGCACTTGACTCATGTTTTTGGATGTTTTTGGGGGAAATGGCTTAGCTGCCAACCAGATGTAAAGGGGGCCGGTCGTGGTCTCTTGACAAAGGAAGGAGGGGTATTCCCTTCATGAGGTGGGCCTCAAACCACGTTTGACGATAGATTTGCATCACTTATATCGTGGGGCCTCTGATAATTTAACATGGTAAAACTATTGAAAATGGCCCATAGTAACTTACTAAACCAGGTGATTTTCAATAGCTATATTGAACGACCAGAGGAGAATAAACCACCAACCATCATTGATAAGGGCAGAAGGGAACACACCAGTCATCAAAAAACCAGGTTTGAGTCGTCCACTTCGAAACGCGCGGTTTCTGAATGCCCCGGCGATTTTTCGTCTTTCGCCACGTTGGGCCATATTTCCAAAGATTCCGTTGAGTGCAAACCTGGTTTACACCTTCCTCTGAAATCACCCTGATTGAATCAGATACTGTACGTAAGCGGACGAACATCCCAAAGACGTCCAGGGGCCAAGGACCATAAATGAACACAACATTTTGCATTCATTCCAGCAACCTGACTGGCGAATGTGCAGTGCTTGCCAAAGGCAAGCAAGGACCAAGTTTTGGGCGATGCTTCTGGGTGTCCCTGTGTTAGTAGGTAGCTGGGCTTTTAAATGGAAGGGGCCACGTCATACCATACAGTCAGCCAGTTAAATTCTTGGTTGTCAGAAGGGGGAGCTAAAGTGTTGCTTTGGCCCATTCAGAGATATGATATGATCTTCATGCTGTTTGGTGGGCGTGTTCTTGCTCCCTGACTTCCGTGGAACTCCGAAAAGCGCTAACAGTGGTGCTCATTGCAATGTTCCACAGACCATCATGGACATGTACGAAATGGCTGCGCAGCAGGGGTATCGATCGTGGTCCATATATCAAGATATATCAAGTACACCTGCACCAACCTTTTAAAGATTTTGACCCACGGAGTTGTTGGCTTCACATCTATCAATCTGTCTATCCACCCACCCATCGATCCATTGGTTCATATATATATATATATATCTATCATTCTATATCCCCATCCCTTTCTGCATATATATATATATATGTATGTATATATACATATATATATATATACACACGCCTGTTGCATGTGGTGAACCAATGAAGTATTTTCGGATCGGGATGCACCTGGTATCTAAACCACATGTTGAGGGGTCTGTGGCATGTGCCCACTTGAACTCAGCGACTTCCCACTGCCAGCCTGGTTTGCCAGGGAGTGAGAGCATACAATTGAAAGAGTAGGGCAAATGAAGATAAATAAAGGAACTGTAGCCTGACAATGGCAGGATGCTGGTGCCTTTCTGCTGAGGCCCCAAAGGCTCTTTGATCTTCAAGGGGTCTGGGCGGATGACAAGGACAGAACTTTCCAGCTGGCAGTTGGCTTAGTTTGCTTCGTTGGGTTGGCTGTGGGAGGTGGCTTGAGCAGGAGTCGTTGACCAAAGTGTGCAATATGTATATATATATATATATGTACACATACACGGCATACACGTGATCAGATGTGAGTGTGTGTGTACCGTCTGAATAGACGTTAAACTTCTTTTACTTGTTATATATATATATATACGCGGGGGATCACCGGGGTCCCTTGGGGGTCGGTGATCAACGAAGACACCTCCCCGGGACCCGTGCAAACGTACCCGCGGGACTATGGTGACGCACCTGGGCGCATTTAAGACGCAGCTGGTGGTCACCATAGTCCCACATATATATATATATATTTCATCCATATCTAAGTAACTAATCTAATCTGCATGTTACAGGACTCAGTTCCTGACGGATCATATAATGATCCATTCTTGTCTAGTGTGATTCCTATGGTGACTCCGACATGGTGCCATAGGGCCATTTGAGGCAACCCCAGTTGGGGTCAATGTCGACTGACCTGAATTCTGAATTCACACATTTTAATTTGGTAATTCGTTTAAGTAAAGTGAAACAGTCGGCCTTTCCGTTTTCGCACCGTTTTTCAAGAGTCCCGCTGCTCCTGCGGTCCCATGAGAACCTTGAGAGATGCATTCTTCCCTGGGATGCCGTGCTGAACAACCACAAATCTTTTGTTTTGCTGCAGCTTCAGCTTGTGACAAGCAACATGCTCCATGTATGACAAGGCAACAGGCATGTCCTCTTCCTGCAGGTATGGTCTCTTTGGTTTCTGGTGAGGTGAAACATGTTGTGCACCTAATTCGCTGGAACTTGAAAGCTGTTATATGCCCTAGTGGCTGACTTGAACACGGGCCTGGAGTGGCACAATCGCACGAATTCTAGGTTTAGGAACTGAATCCTGTTTTCCGGTTTTGTTTTCACCAACTAGTTCCCCATTGGTCCCCTATCTCATGCTCTCCTCCCTCCCCAGGTAGGTTGGCTCCGTCGCGTGCTTAGGTGTTTGTAGGTTCTCGCTGTGTCAGGTTGGTTCAGGCGCTTCCGTCTTCCCCCCCCTCCGCTCGTCTTGGTCCGTGTTCGTCGACCCTCCGCTTTTTTCTTTTCCCTTGCCTTTCAGGGTTCGCCCGCTCCGGGCCAGGTGTGTTGGTGTGTGTTTTCTCCTTCCTTCTTCTTTTGCGTTCCCCTCTTCGCGTCCTGGTTAAGTAACGTTCATCTCATCTTCATTCTCATCTCATTTTTCACCCCCCGCTCATCCTCATTTTCATCTCATTATTACGCGCACCACCCTGCCGGAGGCAGGGTGTGTGTGTGTGTGTACCGTCTGAATAGACGTTAAACTTCTTTTACTTGTTATATATATATATACGCGGGGGATCACCGGGGTCCCGGGGGGGTCGGTGATCAACGAAGACACCTCCCCGGGACCCGTGCAAACGTACCCGCGGGACTATGGTGACGCACCTGGGCGCATTTAAGACGCAGCTGGTGGTCACCATAGTCCCATATATATATATTTATATTTCATCCATATCTAAGTAACTAATCTAATCTGCATGTTACAGGACTCAGTTCCTGACGGATCATATAATGATCCATTCTTGTCTAGTGTGTGTGCGCATGTAGCGATGATGCTGATGAGGATGGTGATGCGATGTGGAATATGATGATGATGTTTATCGCTACATGCTATTACTATTCCTATTATATATTCATTGTTATTTCTTGCCGCAGGCATGTGAATGCTTGCCATTATTCGATACTGATTCATATGATGCATATATAATATATATATATATATATCCCAAGTCCTACGTGCTCTCCGATGTTCGTAAACTATCTGGGTGAGATGGGTGCCCAATGGGGGGCCTCCCACAATTCACTGCCCAACATTGTCAGGTTATCAGCTCCCAAAGTTCCCTGTGAATTGGATTTTTTCGGGCCCAGCAAGTGATGCGCCAGGTGTCCAACTTGATCAACTCCTTAGCAATTAGGTAAGTTAATGTAGGTTTTAGATGGTTTTAGCAGTGCCACCTCCCAAAGGTGACCCAACAATAGATGGCGAAGAAACCCTGGTGGTTACCCCCTGGTTCTTGGTTTATCGATCCTTAAATCCGTGCAGTTGAGGGTTGCTGTCCATTGCCACCCCGCAGGAGGGAACCCCTGTGGGGCAGATCCAGGGGGGCTGTGTGGTGTGGCATCCGCCGCTCGTGAAGTTTTTGTGCTGGGAAGGGCTGTTTGACATCGCAGACACTCTGGGAAGATAGAAAGCCAACGCGTTTGTGGCGTTTGTATATATAAGCAGAATACAATCACACACACACATATATATATGTAACATATACATTTGCATGTGTATATATATATATTTATATATAATGGTATAATTCTGGTATAGTATATTTGTCTAACAGATTCCTAATGGCGTATACAGTGTAATGCACATGGGGAGTTACAAAATGCGGAAGTTGAAGGCACCAGCTCCACCTGAAAACGCCACCAACCGTGATTACTGGGATGAGATAGGGCAGATAGGGCAGATAGGGCAGATAGGGTTATTTTTGGGCATTTTTTCATGGTTCAAGTGCAGCCCTTCCAGAAACTTTTGGACGTGGTTGTGGCTGTAAGGTCCTTCAATTGTCGACCTACGAAGCTGCATGAGACACCAGGCTGGCGTGTGGCGCTATTTTTGTGATCGACCCCATGTTCCATGATGTTCACTCACTCTTGTCCTCAAGACTTCCAATACCATGATTCCATGATCTAGATCCATGTCCGAAAAAAGAGAATCTATAATACTTGAAATGAAGAGGAAGCAACCGATCTTCGTATCATGATCTCAAAACCCTGGTGGAGGTTCAACATGGTCCCAAGGATGCCTAGGTCTAGCCTAACAACTGAGGTGGTGTGGAGATGGAGATGGAGGGCAAGATCTACACCGTCACCTGGCATTTCTAAGTGGATCCGGCCAACTAGCAGGGTTTTTTGATTTTTCCATGAGATTTATTGGGGATTTAAACAACAAAATGGTGACATATGGGGATATTTTTTAGGGATTTCATTGGGATACTATGAATTGGGCCTGGAAATGGAGTATACCCGCCATTTGTGATAATTTAAAATAGGTCAATGAGGAACATGGTCTGCCATTGCATAGAACAGGGTAGCCAATTTTCCAATGTGGTCCCATGATGAATGCCACTGGTGGCAAGGTGGCAAGGTGGCAAGGTGGCAAGGTGGCAAGGTGGCAAGGTGGCAAGGTGGCAAGGTGGCAGGGATTACCCTCTGGTAATTTAACATAGCTATTGAAAATGGCTATTTATAGTGGATTTTCCCATTAAAAATGGCAATTTTCAATAGCTATGTTAAATTACCAGAGGGTATCATCTCTTATTTTGAGATCCCCCTTGATTGAATTGAAGCCCTATGACATTATGGAATGGAAAAAAACATGAAAAACCCATAAAAACCGTACAAAATGGAAACCCAGACCCAGTTCATAAAGACCCTAGTTTTGGAAAATGACGAAAAAATGTCTAAATCAGGGTGATTGGGTGATTGGATGATTGGATGATGGACCTCCTCCCAGCTATTGTGAGGACAGACAATCCGTCACACGGCGATTCATAGCGATGACTTTCCGATTAACCAATGTGGTTTTCCTTCGCCAGGATAGGATTGCTTAATAGTGACATCCTAGAAGTCCTTTTCTACTATCTATAGGAAACCTTTTTTGTTGAGAGTAAAATCGATGAAAATTCTCGAGATGTTCCTTAAATGACCAATCCGAATCCATTGAATACATGAAACCAATCGGAAACTCCTGTTTTGCCGGAAAATATATGGGGAGTTCCAGCAGATTTTTTATAGTTTCCTTCAACCAATTCTAAGAAGTATAACATGGTAAACCCCAACAATAAAGGGTCCCCAAGTCATCCTCATGTTTATGGGTATAAACCATTCCCAGCCATGGTAGGTTTACCTTTTGACCAGGCCACAGTCCAAGTTGGCCAAGAGACCAAACTCCACTGGAACGACGGGGAGGCGAGTGGCATCTGGCAGCCGAAAAAACGTATTTTTTTTTTGCAGATCTTGGCCAGATAAACCTTGGTGAAGGGCATATATATGTATAATTATATGTATATATAATTATATATATAATATTATATATATAACTATATTACTATATAATTACTGTATATATAATCTAGATTAATCTAGTACACACTGTTTACTTCCGTGGAGATATTGACAAACAACCAAAAAACATATCTATCTGCAGGCTCTCTTAGATTGGCCAAAAGTTTGAGTTACATCACTTAGGCCATCACATCATCTCACATCAGCATTTAGGGAAGGATGTTGGAAACTAATTTTGGCAGACATTTTTTTGAAGCTTAAATGTTCCGTGGATGTGAGGTAGTTGCTGATGTTTGATAAGTTTTCACGAGTTTTTTTTTTGAGGGAGGCTGCCTACCCGGTGGTAGTGGCATCCCTTGAGTCAGGTGTGGCTCAGACGTCAGGGGCTTGGTTGATTGCCCAAGTATATAAGTTCGTTTAGGGCGGATGGAACTGTTCACTTTGAAGGAGACTGACTTGCCCTTTTTGATAATTCTTGGTTGACACCAATATTATCCAATATTACTATTGTTATTGTTAGATATTGTTAGTTATTCAGTTATTCTTCATGATTGGTCGATTATTCGCAGAAACTAGCATCCACCTTTGCACAGCATGGAGATGATTTGAGAATGCTCAACAGCTATGGCCAACCACAATTGTTGTTGCTCCGATACTTTTTCTAAGGAAGTGGCGCTCCAGACGAAAAAACATGGGTGCTTGAATGCGAACATCTGTGGCCCCCAAACAGATAGAAAGCCAAGATGGTTGATGATATGATGTCGAATTTCTGATAATGATATCTTCCCCCATGACCACGCTTGCTGGACGCCTCGTGCGGAATCAAATGGTCTCGCATGGGATTGACGCGGGGTGTGACTGAAGAATTGGGGACCTAAAGAGGCACAGCTACCCACAGAGTTGACAAACACCCAATGGTATCACTTTGGTATCTGGGGAATAAGATGGTTGAAGAGGTTCCAAATCGATGAAAAACACATATGCGACGCATGCAGCTTGCACCTTTTGTCAACCACTTTGAGGATCACTTTTTGGGACCACAGCAGACAGCTCCCAGCAGGGCAGATACGAAGCTTACCATGGACACGCGACCAATGTTACCATAGGCAGTGCAGGTGACACCGTCAATTTCCACTGGGCAATCCATTGCATACCCCAAGTCCCGGTGTGTCTGGGGCGGCATGGGGTAGCACGAGGCAGGGAGCCATGGCAGTTCCATGATTGGAGGGATGTCAGCATGAAGACTCTGGGTGATTTGGGCATAGTTTTGTTTTGACATTTTGACGCAATATTAAAAGACATCAACTCGTAGATTTTGTCGACTCTTCGATTGAAAACTATCCTGTTTTGGGGCATATACAGATGCATGCAGACGCCATACATCTCCTATGCCCATTTTTGTTGTAGAGAAACCAGCGCAGTTGGCAAAAGTCACAGAAGCCACGCAGCCGCAATCTAGACTTTTGCTCGAAGTTTCCCAGAGACATCCAAGGAAGAAAGTCAGCATTATCTCCAACCTGGGTAACCTGGTTGCATGCTACATATCATGCTACCTCCCTAGGCCCTAGGAGCTTTTGTGGATGTGCGTAGAGCTATGGTTGTTGTACCCAACAAGTTTTCTGCTCAGCCATAGCACAGAAGGGCCGTCTGGGAATGTCTGGGAGGCCTGTGCAACTTGGCAAAAATGGGGCACTCAGGCACCCCACACAAGAATTTGTTATACTCTCTGGTTATTTAACATAGCCATGGAAAATCACCATTTTTAATAGGTAAACCATCTATAAATGGGCCATTTTCCATGGCTATGTTAAATAACCAGAGGGTAATTTGTTGATTTTTTGATATCGTTAATTTTAAACATATCTTTATGCAAAAAAAACGCTCATGCAGCTCGAGCTGTCACAGTAGGCCATAGATCATGCATGTTTGGCGGATAATAATGTCAACCTGAGTAAAACCTAGTCTAGGACGTCTAGGTAATCATGCTGGGTTGCAGAAAGTCTGGCACCCTCACATCTTCCAGACATTTTCCAGACACGAGTGGGCTGTGCAGGCTGTGCTTCCCCTTTTGCGTACTGAGGAGCTCGAGGGCAAAGCGGTGGTTTGTGAAGTTGGCATTGGCGGTGGCAACATCCTTTGCAGTGCTCAGAGCAGGCTTTGTGCAGGGCCTCGGTTGGGATCAATCACGGCCTGTGAAGGTGTGCACGAGAGTCCTCGAGGGAAGCTCTGGTCATGGTCTGATCGTGCGGCCCGGAAGCTAACGATCAACATCAAAGCGGCCAAATCATCCAATGAGCTCATCAGGCTCTTGGGCACAGCCACGGAAGACTCCTATTTCAACCACTTTCACGCATCAGCAGCATATCACAAGCTGGCTCGATTTCATCGGAACCGGTCGTTTTCCCAGGCCCCTGACTTGGTGCTAGCTAAGCTGCACTCTCGTGTGCAGTGCATGGTGGAACGTAATGAGTTGGATGAACAAGGGTCAGCCAATGTCTTGTGGGGATTGGCCAAGTTTCTTGATGCCGGACCAGAGGCCCTCAAGTTGATCAGATCCTTGGCCTCTTTGATTCCAAGGCAAACATCCAAGATGAGCCCTCGAGACCTGTCCAATTGCCTGTGGGCAGCAGCCCAGTTGGAGGACTTGGAGCCGTCGGTGCTCAAGATGGTGCCTGCCATCATAGCAAAGATTGCCAGCACAGGGGGCAAAACGAACCTTCAAGACGTGGCTAACAATCTGGATGCGCTGGTCAGCTTGCAGGGTTCGGTGGCGGAGGTTGGGCCCCTTTTAGCACCGGGACAGAGTGGCAGTTTTCTGAGACGAGCAGCGGACCGATTGAATCGTGGGCTTCCTCAGCTTCAAGGGACAGATTTGTACATGAACATGCCATCAGTGGTTTGGGCCTGCGCCAGGTCAGGATTGCATGACCATCCTTTGTTCGTCTCCGTGGCTGAGCGCTTCACGTCCAGCGCGCAGCCTTCGAAACTGCCAGATTGGGATCTTTGTGCCCTGGCCTGGGCTTACCAAGTGGTTGATCTTGAGAAGAGCTTCGAGGATTTCCAGCAGGCTTTGGAGCTCGAAATCAACCGTCGCGGCTTTTCGGCCTCGAAAGTGGAGAGTAGCAAAGTGGGCTCCTCACGTTGGGGCAGGGCCTCAGTTTGAAGATCTGAGGTGGCCTTGAGGTTGCAGCTTTTTAGATAGATCAGATACAAGTTTGCAGGCGAAATCAATCTAAAGTCGTTTTCATTCGTTTTCTATGGTTCTATACATACCTCAACAACTATCCTCAACTATCATTGTTGAAAATGGTCAGCATCTTGCTGTTGAGCCGTGTCAAGTATCCTGAAACTGCCAGTTTCGCTGCGGACGGCGATCCTGGCACCATCTCTGCCGAGTGCTACTTCAGCACCATGGAGATCTGAGTGCCGGAGCAGCGGTTCGCGGAGTTTGCGAGATCATTTGTGGCAAACAGGGTTTGCCTGCGTGCGTTTGATTTTAACTGTTTTTCTTGGGAACCCTTCAAGACCAATGGTTCAGACAATCTGACCTGAATTAGGTACTGGATGGTGCTGGTCATATCAATATCTGTAGTTAAAGTAGTTTTTTCTGTGTATCCCCAATTTGCGGACAAACTCAGAAAGGTGCCGTTTTATAAGATTGCTGCTGTAGGTCTGGTGCAAATCCATAGACAGCACAAATGGATTTGCTTCGTACTATACAGTATACAAATATCATTGAATATCCATTCTCTCTCTCTCTCTATGTGCATATATCACACACACACATATATATAATAGATTATAATAGTATATTATATGCCATATCGTTCTGTCTGTCTGGCTGGCTGTCTTTCTGTCTATCTATCTACTCTAACACAGGACACATCGTAATCTTATGGTGCCTCTAGTTGATTGAGTCTTGGGGATCCTTCAAATTATTTTGGTGGAAGGTGCAGACACTCAAGTCGCCTTAATTGACCCACGATATTGCATATAGGAGACTTGCGGAGAAAATCGCACCAGCAAGCGTTCACTATGGGGGGCAAGCGTTCAGTATGGGGGGAATGAGCCATTGGAGAGAGTATCCTCTGGTTTGCACTGTGCACCTGGTTTTTGCATCCTTGAGGTTCGGTGCAAATGTCGTATTTGTATGCATTTGTCCTTTCTTTCTCGATGCTGGATTGCTGGCTTCCCTCTGTGTACTCGTAACTACAGGTAGTCTTTTCGGGCTGCAAATGCAGGACTTGTTTTGAAACTCTCACAGTGTGATTTCCTACAACTTGAAGACATGAGTGACTGGACTGCTTGTGGTAGCTGTAGTAAGTCTAACATTCAAACGTCGCTACTGTAGTAATGATGCTCCGACAGTATTGGCTTGTCAGAACTCAGAACCTGTACTGTATTTCCTTCTGCTCACAGCTTTGGAGGAGAGACAGCGTGCTCGTCAACTCTGACATGTGTTGAAATTAGGTGAGTTTGCCCAAGAAGAATTGGCCAAGGCGACTATGACAAAACTCGAAATTGAGCCGCCAAACGCCCTTGTCTACGAAAAGAAGTCACCAACAAAGCAAAGCATTTCCTTAGCTGATCCTCAGCAAACACATACATGAAACATCATGAAACAGTTTTCCAGATCCTACACCTATGTGAAGCGATGGCTTGACAGACTTTAAGCATCTTCAAGCACTTCAGAACTACAAACCATCACCGCAGGCTTCTAGGTCACTTTACTCTCCTGGCCAGGCTGCATGCTGTGAGCCTCCCAGCAATGGCATCAAGGTTCGATGGTACCATGCGGCAGGCAAAGCACCCTGCCCGGACTAGTGGCCACAGCAGTCGAAGCAGATGTCTGGCAACAATTTTGATGGCTTCGTTGGCAGCATCTTGCGCCATGAGTCTAAGTTGCACTTCGAACAAGCTGTTCATTTTTGTCCTGACCCTCTCATCATCCGATTTCACATATTAGCCAAATGGTTGTCATGACTCCCACCCCCTTTTTCCAGTGCTATCGCAGACTTGCAATCACATTGCTTCGTTCCCCAAACCTTGGAGTTTCCAAGACATTCCAAGACCAGCATAGGAATAAAAACAATGGAGGACTATTCGTTGAAGGTTGAACATCATTCGTATTTCCCCTTCAAAAAATATTACATAATTTATATAAATAATGGATTTCAGCAAGGCAGGAAGTAAACAAAAGAACATCGCATCAGCATTTTCTCGCAGATCCACCTCTGATAGGACAGCCTTCGGGCTTGTGGGCGACCAGCTGGCCCCAGCCCGTGTGACACGCCGTCCCGGCAGCCGCCGTAGATTGTCAGGGGCAGACGAGGCGAAAAAACTGACGGCCAGGATGAAGGAAGTCAACTCCGCCGCGGGTTTGATTGACATTTTGGATGGCGTAGTGGAAGCCTGGTGCTGAAGTGTAGATGGTTTTCGTATGTCTTATCATATTTTGTGTTTCCTTTTTCCGAATTTTTTGAATATGCGAAGAAGCAAGTTCAGGAACTGTAATCTGCTTGTGGGACTAGTTTTGATTCTCTTGGAGCCCCGCAGCAAGAATCCAAGGATGGCCCCATTTTCAACAAGTTTCATGCATCCGCTGCATATCACAGCTTGGCGACCTGGAAAAGACGGAGGCGTTTGCAGCTCGCAGATCGGGAGAGCACGGTGTTGCCTAGACTGCATGGCCGAGTTCGGAGCATGATCTCCCGCAAAAAGCTGGGGCCTCGTGAGTGTGCCAACGTCTTCTGGGCCACAGCGCACCTGTCAGGTGCTGTTCCCAACGTCACCCGGCTGGTGCCAGCCCTGGTGAAAGTGCTCCCAGAGCAGCTGGAGACCATGAACCCACAGGAGCTGTCCAACAGCCTGTGGGCCGTTGCACAGCTGCAGGAGGTCGAGCCCCTGGTTCTCCAGATAGTGCCAGCCATCGTCCAGCAGATCCCCAGCCGGGCCAATGATATGATCCCACAGCATTTGTCCAACTGCCTGTGGGCTGCCGCTCAGTTGCAAGAGGGGGCACCTGATGTGCTGAAGATTGTGCCGGTTCTTGTGGACCAGATATTGGTGAATGCCAAAGACATGATGCCGCAGCATCTGTCCAACTGTTTGTGGGCAGCAGTTCAGCTCAGGGAAGCTGAACCTGCTGTGCTGAAGACGGTGCCAGCGATTTCAGAGGAACCTTGGACATACGGACCGGTGACATTTCAGTGCTTTTCGCGACCGCTTTTTGCTGATCTAGTACTGTATCCCATTTCATCCGTCAAAAGCCAAAAGCCTCGAAATATATATCAAAAATTGTCAAAATATGCCAAGTATTTTCCAGATATCTATCTTTTCATCCGTGTATCCATCCATGTCTAACAGCCCACCCCCAGAAAAGAATCTAATTCCATCTAAATCTAAATCGTTCTAAATCCATATCGATATATATATATCACAGATTATATACATATATATATCACAGATTATATTTCACGTCTCTATTAATCTCTATCATCTTCACCAGGTCTTCGAATAGATCTTGTGTGCCGGGGCGCCAGGAAGTCCCTTCCAGGGCCGAGGCCATGATCCCCCAGGCGCTCTCCAGCGTTCTGCTGGCGGCGGCCCAGCTGCACTCGGTGGAGCCACAGGTCCTGCGGCTGGTCCCAGCGGTGCTGCCGCAGCTTCCCATCATGGTGGAGCGGATGGTGCCGCAGGCGGCCGAAAAGGGAAGGGAAATCTGGGGAACGAAAGGTGGGGAAATTCAGGCCAAATCGGAGGGAAAGGTGGGGAACATCACAGATATTTGGAACATGTAAGAAACATGCATGCGGGGAAACTATTGGAAAGTATGGGAAGTAAGGACCTGATTGGTAGCACTTTGGCAGGATTTGGGGGTTCCAAGTAATTACATTGTATATATATATAATTATATATATGCTGTAAAAGAATGTATAGCCGCTATAGCTGTAGGGCAAGAAAAGATAAATAAAGGAAAATAAAGATATAATAAAGGTACAATGGAGATGACATGACATGGGGGGATGGCCTCAAGTGTGGTGAACCTCGGGTGAACCTCGGCAAACCCAAGCATTTTTATCGCAGACCACCGAGTTAATCGAACAATTGAACGGCAAGTGTTTATTATGGTTAATAATGGTTAATCTATGGTTAATCTATGGTTAATCTATGGTACTGGTAATAATTGGAATAACAATATATCTGGTTGGTGGTTTTGAACATGAATTTTATTTTTCCATATATTGGGAACTTAATCCCAACTGACGAATATTTGTCAGAGGGGTTGAAACCACCAACCAGTCATGGTTTGTTTATTTATGACATTGAGAAGGCGAATAAATTACGATTCAGAAACTTTACCCGATTCAGCAACTCCGATTCAGCAACTCCGATTCAGAAACTCCAAGGATTCAGAAACTCCGGGTTGTCCCGATTCAGCAACTCCACCCTGTCCCGATTCAGCAACTCCACCCTGTCCCGATTCAGCAACTCCACCCTGTTCCGATTCAGCAACTCCACCCTGTCCCGATTCAGCAACTCCACCCTGTCCCGATTCAGCAACTCCACCCTGTCCCGATTCAGCAACTCCACCCTGTCCCGATTCAGCAACTCCACCCTGTCCCGATTCAGCAACTCCACCCTGTCCCGATTCAGCAACTCCACCCTGTCCCGATTCAGCAACTCCTGTCCCGATTCAGGAACTCCACCCTGTCCCGATTCAGCAACTCCACCCTGTCCCGATTCAGCAACTCCACCCCCTCCCGATTCAGCAACTCCACCCTGTCCCGATTCAGCAACTCCACCCTGTCCCGATTCAGCAACTCCACCCTGTCCCGATTCAGCAACTCCACCCCTCTCCCGATTCAGCAACTCCACCCTGTTCCGATTCAGCAACTCCACCCTGTCCCGATTCAGCAACTCCACCTCTCCCGATTCAGCAACTCCACCCTGTCCCGATTCAGCAACTCCAACCTGTCCCGATTCAGCAACTCCACCCTGTCCCGCATCCTTCCCTTGCATAGAGTTCTTATCAAGATTCCAAGTCATTTTCTAAACTTCCCCCCCCCAAAGCTCTGCATGCAATGGTATTCCTCAATGCACATCCTTCCCTTGCATAGAGTTCTTCTCACGGTTGCAAGTCTTTTTATAAACTTCCCCCCCAAAGCCCTACATGCAATAGTAGTCATCAATGCATACCTTCCCTTTCACAGAGTTCTTGTCACGATTGCAAGTCATTTTCTAAACTTCCCCCCCAAAAGCTCTGCATGCAATGGTATTCCTCAATGCACATCCTTCCCTTTCACAGAGTTCTTGTCACGATTGCAAGTCATTTTCTAAACTTCCCCCCCCCAAAGCTCTGCATGCAATGGTAGTCCTCAATGCACATCCTTCCCTTTCACAGAGTTCTTGTCACGATTGCAAGTCATTTTCTAAACTTCCCCCCCCCAAAGCTCTGCATGCAATGGTAGTCCTCAATGCACATCCTTCCCTTGCATAGAGTTCTTCTCACGGTTGCAAGTCATTTTTATAAACTTCCCCCCCCAAAGCTCTGCATACAATGGTATTCCTCAATGCACATCCTTCCCTTTCATAGAGTTCTTGTCAAGATTGCAAGTCATTTTCTAAACTTCCCCCCCGAAAAGCTCTGCATGCAATGGTATTTCTGAATGCGCATCCTTCCCTTGCATAGAGTTCTTGTCACCATTGCAAGTCATTTTCTAAACTTCCCCCCCCCAAAGCTCTGCATACGATGGTATTCCTCAATGCACATCCTTCCCTTGCATAGAGTTCTTCTCACGGTTGCAAGTCTTTTTATAAACTTCCCCCCCCCCAAAGCCCTGCATGCAATGGTATTCCTCAATGCAAATCCTTCCCTTGCATAGAGTTCTTGTCACCATTGCAAGTCATTTTCTAAACTTCCCCCCCAAAGCCCTACATGCAATAGTAGTCATCAATGCATACCTTCCCTTTCACAGAGTTCTTGTCACGATTGCAAGTCATTTTCTAAACTTCCCCCCCCAAAGCTCTGCATGCAATGGTATTCCTCAATGCACATCCTTCCCTTGCACAGAGTTCTTGTCACGATTGCAAGTCATTTTCTAAACTTCCCCCCCCCAAAGCTCTGCATGCAATGGTAGTCCTCAATGCACATCCTTCCCTTTCACAGAGTTCTTGTCACGATTGCAAGTCATTTTCTAAACTTCCCCCCCCCCAAAGCTCTGCATGCAATGGTAGTCCTCAATGCACATCCTTCCCTTGCATAGAGTTCTTCTCACGGTTGCAAGTCATTTTTATAAACTTCCCCCCCCAAAGCTCTGCATACAATGGTATTCCTCAATGCACATCCTTCCCTTTCATAGAGTTCTTGTCAAGATTGCAAGTCATTTTCTAAACTTCCCCCCCGAAAAGCTCTGCATGCCATGGTATTTCTGAATGCGCATCCTTCCCTTGCATAGAGTTCTTGTCACCATTGCAAGTCATTTTCTAAACTTCCCACCCGAAAGCTCTGCATGCAATGGTATTTCTGAATGCGCATCCTTCCCTTGCATAGAGTTCTTGTCACCATTGCAAGTCATTTTCTAAACTTCCCCCCCCAAGCTCTGCATACAATGGTATTCCTCAATGCACATCCTTCCCTTTCATCGAGTTCTTGTCACCTTTGCAAGTCATTTTCTAAACTTCCCCCCCCAAAGCTCTGCATGCAATGGTAGTCCTCAATGCACATCCTTCCCTTGCATAGAGTTCTTGTCACGGTTGCAAGTCATTTTTATAAACTTCCCCCCCCAAAGCTCTGCATACAATGGTATTCCTCAATGCACATCCTTCCCTTTCATAGAGTTCTTGTCACCATTGCAAGTCATTTTCTAAATTCCCCCCCCCCAAAGCTCTGCATACAATGGTATTCCTCAATGCACATCCTTCCTTTTCACAGAGTTCTTGTCACGGTTGCAAGTCATTTTCTAAACTTCCCCCCCTAAAAGCTCTGCATGCAATGGTATTTCTGAATGCACATCCTTCCCTTGCATAGAGTTCTTGTCACCATTGCAAGTCATTTTCTAAACTTCCCCCCCCCCAAAGCTCTGCATGCAAGGGTAGTCCTCAATGCACATCCTTCCCTTTCATAGAGTTCTTGTCACCATTGCAAGTCATTTTCTAAACTTCCCCCCCCAAAGCTCTGCATGCAATGGTAGTCCTCAATGCACATCCTTCCCTTGCATAGAGTTCTTGTCACGGTTGCAAGTCATTTTTATAAACTTCCCCCCCCAAAGCTCTGCATACAATGGTATTCCTCAATGCACATCCTTCCCTTTCATAGAGTTCTTGTCACCATTGCAAGTCATTTTCTAAACTTCCCCCCCCCAAAGCTCTGCATACAATGGTATTCCTCAATGCACATCCTTCCCTTGCATAGAGTTCTTCTCACGGTTGCAAGTCTTTTTATAAACTTCCCCCCCAAAGCCCTGCATGCAATGGTATTCCTCAATGCAAATCCTTCCCTTGCATAGAGTTCTTGTCACCATTGCAAGTCATTTTCTAACCTTCCCCCCCCAAAGCCCTACATGCAATAGTAGTCATCAATGCATACCTTCCCTTTCACAGAGTTCTTGTCACGATTGCAAGTCATTTTCTAAACTTCCCCCCCCCAAAGCTCTGCATACAATGGTATTCCTCAATGCACATCCTTCCCTTTCACAGAGTTCTTGTCACGATTGCAAGTCATTTTCTAAACTTCCCCCCCCAAAGCTCTGCATGCAATGGTAGTCCTCAATGCACATCCTTCCCTTTCACAGAGTTCTTGTCACGATTGCAAGTCATTTTCTAAACTTCCCCCCCCCCAAAGCCCTGCATGCAATGGTAGTCCTCAATGCAAATCCTTCCCTTGCATAGAGTTCTTCTCACTCGGTCCGGTTCCCATTCTACGGCATGCCCGGCACACCCTGCCTATAGATTTCCTATTTTTGAAACTTCCGCCACCGCCTTGCGCAGTACTATTGGAATACACCAGTCAATATTGGGATACATTGGATTCGTGTATGATCAACCATTCGGATTGCATCAGTGAGTCTATACATATAGGAGATCAGTTTGCATTTTCAGATCAATCCGACGAACTACATCCGGAATGTTCTTTTTTCCACAATGCAGTTTGTTTTTTTTTGAGATCTCGGCACTGGGAGTTTCCACACCAATGCTATTTCTAAATCCCAAATTCAAGTTTCCGAATCCGGGGGGAGCCGCAACTTTCCGTATCCGAAGGCCTTGAAGTTTCCGAATCCGAGGGCCTGGAAGTTTCCGAATCCGTGTCTTCGAAGTTTCCGAATCCGGGGGACAGCGAGTTTCCGAATCCGACGCCCTGGCAGTTTCCGAATCCGCGGGCTTCGAAGTTTCCGAATCCGGGGGGCAGGGAGTTTCCGAATCCGAGGGCCACGGAGTTTCCGAATCCGTGGGCCTTGAAGTTTCCGAATCCGAGGGCCTGGAAGTTTCCGAATCCGAGGGCCTGGAAGTTTCCGAATCCGTGGGCTTCGAAGTTTCCGAATCCGGGGGGCAGGAAGTTTCCGAATCCGAGGGCCAGGGAGTTTCCGAATCCGTGGGCTTCGAAGTTTCCGAATCCGAGGGCCTGGAAGTTTCCGAATCCGACGCTAAAGTTTCCGAATCCGGGGGGGAGGGAGTTTCCGAATCCGAGGGCCTGGGAGTTTCCGAATCCGACGCTGAAGTTTCCGAATCCGACGTTGGCCTTGAGAAGGCCTCTTATGTAGATTCTGGATTAAATCACAATGATCTCACTGCGACGTCACTGGAATGATGTTTTTTTTTTTCGCAGAATAGTCCCCAAACAGTTTTATTTTTCATTCATCTGCATAGATGAAACCGGGACATGATGGTCAAAATCTTCATCATCTCGGTGAGTCCACCACCAGAAAAATGTTATTCATTTATATATATATATAATGATGTAAGTTATCATTATGATCATTATGAGCATGTCCCCCAGAGCTTATATAGCCAAGGGTTGCTCATTCACCCATTGTGGGTGAATGATAGCCACAAGGGGGGGAAATTGGATATTCGATTTTTATATTTCTACCATTTTGTACCTGGGGTGTTTGGAGCAACCCCGCCCCGGATTCTCGGGATTCTCGGGATTCTCGGGAGTCCCAGGTGCTTTCAAACTGTCTGTCCGCACTGATCTTTCTGCAAGATTCGCTCCCAGAGTTGGTGAAACCAGTATTGCTGACTGAGGATGGCCGGAGACTTGTCTGTAGAGTGATGCAAATCTTTGGGGCTATCAGTGGGATTTGTGTTGGATATGTCTCAACATGTCTCAACATTATTCCAATCTGAATTTACAGAAACATGGCCATTGATGCATTTCAATTGCATTTCATAAGATGAGGGTGGAGGCAGGTTCTAGGCCAGACCACTGTATTTGCGAAATAGGCCAATTCATTTTTTTTGCAGCCCCGCTTCCGGTGCGATGATCCTAATATATGGTAGCTGTAGTGGAACTGGTGGCTGGTTGGCACTGGTGGTTTCAAATAATATTCGACATGTGCTTTCCAAATGATTATCACAAAGTGTCTCCTACTTCTCAGTGGGGCTTCATATCTCTCCATCCCAAGACGGGGTGGAGCTTCAGGAGAGGTTTCGTGCTGCTGGCGGCTAATCGCTTGAAGGAGATGCTGCCCAGCATGACGAGCACTTCTGATCTGCACATCGCAGTGCCCACCGTGGTGTGGGCCTGTGCTCGCCTGGGTGTCCAACATGACTTGCTGCTGGCTGTGGCGCAGCACTTAGGGTCCAAGACGAAGGTCTCAAAGCTACCTGACTGGGGGCTGTGCGTCCTGGCCTGGTCCTTCCAGGTTTTGGAGCCGGAACTCATGGATTTTGAGGAGCTCTTGCTCACCGAAATCAACAAGAGGGGCTTCACAGATGAGAAGGTTGAGAGGAGCCAGCTAGGCTCCTGGGAGTGGCAGGAGGAGTCGGAGGAACCAGAGGAGTTGGAGGCCAGTGAGTAGCTGAGATGGGAAGCGTATCCTGCAAAAATGTGCGCGCATAATCCTGAGCAGAGCATTTAGGTGGGCATTCTGGCATGCGAGTTTATGCCACATTTTGATACATTTTGAGAAGTTTAAACATAAACAGTCCCAAAGGATCCAAAGATTGTCCTAGCGATTTCAGACGTGCCTCACCAGCCCTGATTTGATGTTTTCATTACCGGGTTTCAGTCAGCCATTACGGTGAAAGGTGGAAGAAGCCTGCAGTTTCGGAGTGGAGGAAATCTCATGTGAAGATCTCTTGGCAACCCCTCACAAATCTCACAAAGGCGCAAGGAATCCAATGTTTTCACCAAACTTTTTCTGGTCAATTTTACCTTGTGTCTTTGAACATCTTGAATCATCATCCTGCCACACCCCATTTAATTCTTGAATGATTCGCAAAAGAATCAGAAAAGATGCAACGTTAACAGATTTCCTTACCTATCCTACATTCACATGGCATGTCTCGAAATGGTATTTTATCAATAGTGTTTGTATGTAATTGCCCCCATTAAGGTTGCAATCCAGGTGCACGCCCCATTTCCAGCCATACCCACACGAGAAACTGCCCAGCTTTGTCAATTTTGTTGACCGTTTCTCCTTCCTTCAAGCCTCAGCCAGGGCGCGATGGAAGCAAATAATGCTTAGTCTGACCACAGGCAGGTGGAGCTTAGAGATGTGACGGGAAAAAACTTGTGCCTCACTGAATGTACTACTGGATTACTGGATGTGGAATAGTATCCAAGTGCCACTTTAAGCTGGGAGTGCGGGTCCAGAGCGGGTGTACGGCATACAGCTTCTATGGCTTGTTGGGATGCAGCCTTTTGCTATATTTTGACTATTTTGCTGTTTGGTGTGACCAGCAGATTTAGATGGAAACATCAGACCAATCAATCTCAAATCGCCAGGTGACATGTTACGAGAGCACACGGTTGTTGCAGTACTTGAGGTAGTTTGGATGATTTGCAAAGAGAGGTTTCCGCGGATTTCTATTCCTTTTTTCGATGGAAGCCACATGATTTGCATTGTAATTTTGTCGTGATGGAACCCGTCAACCATTTGAGAGTCATGCAATAACAATTCCATCAAGATGGCTCCTTTGAGGGCACCCAGGTGACTGAAGCCTCTTCAGACAAGATTCCCGGGCTGATTTGAAGGCAGCAAGTTTAAGAAACCACTAACCATGGTTTGCACCTTCTAAATTCTGGAGTGCCTGTTGGGTTGTCCTTCGGGGTTACACAGAACAGAGAATAAACACACTAGCTGACTGTGCAAAAGTAGAAAAGACCAAACCAGAAACTCCAGTTGCCCTCGGTCCATGCGATGGCTGGTGCCCCTGTGGTTCCTTTGGACCATGTGCATTGCTCTCTCCCAGCTGCACCATGTGCTCTCCTCAGCCACGGCCCTGGTTCAGCGCCCTCCGGGGAAGCGCAGTTCAGAGTCGGAGGGGAAGATCCTGACCTCCAAGATCAAAGGAGCCAAGTCAGCCAAGAAGCTGCTGGCCATCTTGGACAAGACCATGGATAGCCAGACCTTCAACAAGGTTCACGCCTCGGCGGCGTACACCGCTTTGACGGCCATGAAGAGGAGGGGATGGCGACGACTGGAGGGTACATGGGATAGCTGTGTGCTATCTAGACTGCAGGGGAGGGTGAGGAAGATGATCTGCGGGAATCAGCTGGGTTGCCGGGAAGGTGCCAACATCCTTTGGGCAGTGGTGCACTTGTCGGAAATGGATCCAATGCTGCCGAAGGGTCTGCTACCTGCTTTGGTGGAAGTCCTTCCCAGCCAAGTGCGTGGCATGAACACCCAGCACCTGTCCAACTGCTTGTGGGCATCAGCGCAGCTCCAAGAAGTCGAGCCTTCAGTGCTCAAACTGGTGCCCGCCATTTCCTCGGAGATACCATCAAAGGCCAAGGACATGGTCCCACAAGCCCTTTCGAACTGTTTCTGCGCAGCAGCCAAACTCCAGGATGCTGCAGAAGAAGTGCTGAAGGTGCTGCCGGCCATCGTAGCAGAGATTCCTAAGAAGGCAGGAGACATGATTCCTCAAGCGCTCACGAATTGCTTGTGGGCAGCTGCCCAATTGCAAGAGGTGGATGCGGGTGTTCTCAGGGTGGTGCCGGGGCTGGTTGAACGCATGCCCAGTGAAGCAGAGAATTTGAAACCGCAGGAGCTGTCGAATTGCCTGCTGGCCACCGCTCAGCTGTATGAGGTGAAACCCTTGGTGCTTCAAATCCTTCCAGTCTTGGCAGATCAACTACCCTTGAAGGTTCAGCAGATGAACTCCCAAGCACTTTCCAACTGCTTCTGGTCCTGTGCCCAGTTGCAGCACCATCCACAGGGTGCTGCCTGGGTGCCTGGGATGCTGCAGCAGATCCTGCAGCGGCTACCAGCAGCCGCTGCCCAGATGACGCCACAGGAGCTGTCCAACAGCGTGAGGGTGGCGCCGCGGCTGCAGGAGACAGTGCCGGAGGTGCTGGAGGTGCTGCCTGTGATGCTGGAGCAGCTCAAGACCTTCCCCTGTTTTCGCGGATCTTTGGAGAAAAAAGTGGGCTCGGAGCGCATTTGGATGCATTTGGACACAATGTCTTGGTGCCGATGTTTCCCAAAAAGATGTTTTTGATGGGATGTTGACGGATGTTGGGCAGCGTTCTCCCGCAGAATCACGGTTGCCTCACCCTTCTAACGAGTGTAACTGATCGGATCATTTGGATGGCTTCATCATGGCCCAGAGCCCACCCAGTAGCCTACAAGTGGCAGCCATTTCAATGTGATAATCCTCAAAATGCAAGTTGCCTCAGCTGCCCGTGTGCTTGGCGAAAACCAATGGTAGTCTTGATCATCATAGACATCATAGACCCTATATGATGATATATAATTATTAGAACACATATTAACACATCCTAGTACTATAGGTGCCTAGTTGCCACTTCCCCAAAAAGTGCCGTTGATGACTGGGAAGCTTTGGGGCACTGGCTCAGCCAGGTGGCGGATCCTGCACCGCTGTGGCTTAAAAAGATTGGCGGTTCAGTCGGCACACGGTTCAGTGAAGCCCAAGTAGCTGTTTTATGCTGTTTTGTGGAACCTGCAAGCAGGAGATGAGCCGCAGCAGATTGAGCCTATCAAGCAGAAAGATTTCAGCATACTAGCGGTGTAATGAGCCTGCTGCAAATCATAGCAGCGTCAGGGTAACCAGGTCACCGTTCTCAGTCCTAGGAGTCAGTGACATTGAAGGTTGTTTCAGGACAGAGAGCAAAATGGCGAGTGTGCCATCACGAAAGCCAAAGGGAGATGGGATCAGATGAGATCAGACTCGACCGGTCCTTGCCCAGATCAGCGAGTATTTTCAACATGTCCCCGCAGCCCGCATCGGATTTTTACAAAATCCTGTAGGACCTTGGTATATGCCCCGGTTCTTGGGCTTGGTGCTGCTGGCCATGAGCCAATGCTGCTGCTTCAGCGGCTTGGCCAAGTTCGCCCAGCGGCAGCCCAGCACCATGGTGCTCCTGCGCCACGGTGAGCGAGAGGATTACATCGCACAGAAGGCATCAGCTGGGCAGTAGGCGGGTCGTGCTTCAGTACAATCCCAGTATAGTGTATTTATATGATTTTATATGTATTTATCAAGTCACATCAAGCCAATTTCAGTAGTACTGTACATCATGCATACTTTGCTTGTCAGCAAGTTGGTTGACCACTGAATGTTGGTAAAGCCATATTTTGATGGTTTATAGATGTTTATAGTATAGCAATGTATAGCACCCATTTAACCATAGTCGTATAGGAATGTATAGCACCCATTTATGCTAAAATTGGGGATGGTTTCTTGTTGCTTTACCAACAGTCCCATCCAAGTGGCCGATGGCTGCGCCAGGCAGGTCGAGGTGCCCAATGGGTCAAGGAAAGCCTGCGGCCCTGGGACCCCGCGCTGGCGCCCAACGGCCAGCAGCAAGCGCAGAGCGCGGCGAAACGCTTGCGCCAGGCCAGGGATGTCAAGGGCTTCAGCTATGAACTGCCCACCTTTTTTGGAAGATGTCAAGACTATGGGGAAAAATATGGAAAAATGATGAAAAATGGAAAGGAATGTCCCCGAAGAAAATCAAGCAGTGAAGGATAAGAACGACCCAGTTGGAAGTCGTCAATTTGTTCATCCATCCATGAATACCACACAGAGTCCAGAGCCTCCAATAGTCTGAAGATCCCTGCATCTCCCACATTTTTCGCAGCCAAGCATTTCATCAGCACTTTCTTCGCATTTTCCCAGAACTGGTTTCCCAGTTTCCAGTTACAAACATCCTCAAATCAACCCACTGACCCCTGGGAAAAAATATCAAGATCTCAACCAGCAAAAGTGCCACCCATGGCACCTCTATCCCGTTCCAGGTTCTTGAGACAGCACAGCTGCCTTTGCCATCAAAGATCTTCACCTCTCCCATGCTGAGGGCTGTAGAGACGGCAAACTTTGCTGCTTGGACATGCAGAAATCGCAGCTATTTTTGATGCAGAAATCGGACTAAATAGGGTGAGCGGTGAACTGATCCATATTTGCAATATTTGATCATGTGTGTGTGATCTTTTGATATGCAGCGACTGGAATTTCATACAGGCAAAGGTGAAAGTCGTCTCTTTTTACCCAGGGTTGCGGAAATTAGGTGGGGAATTTTGTTTCGTTGAAGTCGTCTATGTTAGGCTTCCGCCAACCTCAATGCAGCATTAACACTAGAAGATGGCCAACGTTTTCACCTAAGATCTCGTGAATGTTGCGTTCACGTTGGTTTTTGCATGAAACCGCTTTGGGGTCATTTTGGTTAAATGCTGCGTTGTCTTGCGGTTTGGCTTCCTCTTCCTCAGCAATTGTGGCTGAGGCTTTCTTTGGGATGTAGGATCCATTGGTTTGGTTGCAAATGCAGTTTAGTTTCAGATGTGCGTCAACACGTGTGAGTGTAACATTCGCAGCAGCTACATTTGAACAGATTCACGATGTTTTTTTCAATTGTGTATCTCCTTCATATCTCCTTTGCCTATCTCATTCCATCATTTTATGGCGGATATGTTTTCGGTTTCGAAAAAAAAAGTTTATCCAAGCGTTGCCATGTGAGATCATGTGAGAATGGTTCTTCCGGGAAGGCTCAAAAGGGACGGTAAGGGATGACTTTCACTTTTGCACATTCAGGTATTTCAAACTACTCATATATATCCCGGGTATATAATGGTATATATATATATAATTATATATATAATCATAATCTATTATGAGTTACAATGTGATACTATCTTATACTAATACCGTACATGATATGTGCATAACAAGCACACAAATAAATACAAATACAACACAAACACACACACACATATATATATATATACACATTTGGGGTGATGCACCCTTCTTCCGAATGTGCTAATCACTTTATTTTTCGCTTTCAGCATTTTTTGAGAACAGCGATGTGAGGTTGCAGATGAGTTTGCTGTCAAGAGCTTGTACGTGGAGGCTCGGTTCTGAGATGTTCTTCGTGCGGAAAGCCACACAACTTGTCCAACCACAAAATAACAAAGGTTAGAGCCTGGGTGTGTCCAAGAACGGGGGCAATGGGGGACCGCCAAACTCACCAAACAATCTTTTTTTTTTCGCCCTCGAAGTTCGCAAGGGTTTTTGATTCATGATTCGTGTTGCCAATGTTTGGGACTTGGGACCCATGTTCCAAGGGTTTTTTTGTCGCCCTCTCGGGCGACAGATGACCTCCATGCAACATGCCAGGAGGGCCTCACCGAATCGGTCTACGAGCACTGGATGAGGTGGGACCGACGCAGTGGTTTCTAGACACGCTGCAAGTAGGGTGTTGAAATGGCTGAATCTTCCACGGGTTATTCCCGAAGTGTAACGAACATCTTCCACTGACGTCTTCACACCTTTCCAAATACCAATATGATCAACATGCTGAAGTGGTTGAATCAGATCCAGGAAACCATCTACTGAGCAGTTTCCAGGCAATGGGCAGTGCCTGGCGCCAACAGCGACTGGGGCGGACCGCCCCATTCCTGTATGCCCCAGGTGGGGGTTTGGGGTAGGGCGCCAAGCCCCTGGGCCCAGGACGATAGTCGCAAGTGGGGTTATCTTAGAAACTGAAAATATCCACAGAAGGTTCCCGCTCTTACAAGGAAACATCAAATTTCTTCAAATTTCACATCTTTTGGAACTCTTTACGTTGGACTTTCTTGGCCCCAATGCTGAGGCAAAAGAACAAACAAAGCTTCCACCTATGCCTACTTTGGCCCATCGCAGGGCCGCAACACCGGTGACCCACGCCTGGTGCGTGGCACGCCCGTGGCAGAAGAAGATCTACGGCCCGAAGCCTTGGAAGGCGGGACTTGTGAGGAGTTTTGGCGATGAACATCCATTGGAGCAGTGTTCCAAACTCCTGTTGATTTGAGGATTCTAGATGGTTCTAGATTCTAGGGGGCTACATTTATAATTATATATTATTGTATATTAATATATATATATACATATGCCATCCAGTCATATCCAGTATAGTGGGGAGCATCATTGCATCAGGTTAAGCTGGGAATTCCTTTGAAGAAACCAACTTGCAAAGCTATAGTATTGGGATTGTGGGGCACCACATGGAATTGTTGGTTGTAACATCATTATGTTATATCATATCCCATAAGAATCACAAAGTGGTTGGTTCATCCCCATTCTTATTATTCAAATTAGATCCAAGTATGCCCAATTATATCCACATTATATCATATATATCCCCTCAAATTAAGCTGGCCATCTATACCAGAGCTGTATTAGGTTTATCCCATTAAATCCCGTTCAGATCCACAATTGTTGATGCTTAAACCATGCTACAAACATCAACCCCATTAAGTACAATTAGATATCCCATTAAATCAACAATTGTCGATGCTTAAACCATGCTACAAACCATCACTTAATCCCCGTTGAATCCCAAGAAATTCTAACTTTCCTTGGCCCCAAAAAGGTGCGTCAAAGCTGATCCCAACGTCCGGAGAGTTGAAACTGAAATGTGGTTTCAGCCGGGTGGATGAGAGCTACGTGAGCTGCGTGCCGGTGCGGGCAGCTTGGAGGTGAATCCCAATCTGGCATATCAGACTGCAATATAATACCTGTATATAAAATGATATAAAACTGATTCTACATTTGATTGCGTTTGTATTATTGTTATTGTTAACCAGCGGTTCATGATCAGTTCACATCCTGATTTCCATGGAATCACACTATATGATAGATGCACTATAGTGATGCATGGACCTCTTTCAGGCCATCTTCTGGTTGCCCACAACTACCAGGGTTGAACGATGATTTGCCAAGAATCAAACCCTTTCAAAACAGAGCAATAGCTTCCTTTTCAAACATTTTGGAGGATTTATCCTCTGGTAGTTTCGCATGGAAAATGGTGCCTTGATATATGATTTACCTATCAAAAATTGGGTGATTTTCCAGATCAGAGGCCATTTCAGGTACCTAAACCGGAGGTACCGTACCACATAAAGCCATAATTATTTTGGGGGCATACTATTACATAGCCCTTAGAATATGGTAGGCAACTCCAAGTTAGATTACAATGGCCACTGACCCATGTTTCCCCAATAGGGATGTATATATATATATATCTGGTTGGTGGTTTGGAACATTTTTTATTTTTCCATATATTGGGAATCATGATCCCAACTGTTACTCACTCCATCATTTTTCAGAGGGGTAGGTCAACCACCAACCATATATATATATATGTTATATCTATGTTATTGGTATTATAACCATTATTAGTAGATAATCCCATTATAAACTTGCTATTTATACATCGAAATACACCACTGTGGAGCCATCCCCTCTGCCCGCCCAGGACAGGGGCTACCGCTGGGGCCACTTCGAAACGCACTCGGAGGTGGTGGAGCGTTGTACCGAGGCAGTGAGGAAGTGCATGGCGCGATATCCACAGGAGGGGCCCCGGCATGGCCGGAAAAGATGGCGGGGGATACGGAAACTCACAATGGAATATGTATATATAGACACATTAACATATAATTATATATATATATACACTAATATATATATATATATGTGTGTGTAGTAGTAGTAGTAGTATATGTATATGTATATATATATATATGTATTCATTTATTCATTTAATTTCATTTGTTTTTAATTTATTGAATCTATTTATGCATTTATGTTTTTTTAAATAGAACATGGGAAAATCCATGGGTTTTTCCATATTTTAACACTGGTGGCAAAACATAGATTTGAGCAATGAGAATGGACTTATCCTCGACAAAAACGACTTATTCAACAATAAATAAACACACATATATATATATATAAATAAATAAATGAATAAATAAATAAATAAATAAATAATATATATATATATATACATGTATATAACGCTGGGGATTATCATGCAAAATATATCAAAGAAATGAGTCGAAACCTATTCTTTTCTGATATGAATTGTGAATGGGGGTGTGAAGATCCACTTGCTAGCTGTTGTGCAATTGACGTGAACAGATAAATAAAGATTGGGTCATTCTTCACTGGTATACTGATGGGGCGTATGCCCACTTGACATCAGGACCTAGAAAGGTTCGGATTTTAAGATTTACTGTAACATCAGGAGATATGCAATTCCTGAATTCTTAGAAACCCATACAGTGTATAGAAACCATATGAAACCATGCACTGCATACTCCCCAACAGTCATCAACCGCATCGGAATTCCCTCAGGATGTCAGATTGATATATTCCGATCCTGTCGGGGTTGGCAAGGCCATTTTCTGTGGAAGCAACCTCATGACTCAACATTGTTGATGGAATTTGGAGGGCCTGGATGTGAACCTTGTTGAAAACAGTAAGCCGTGCTAATTTTCCAATCGCCACGTTCAGAAGGCCCAATTTTGCAGGGTAAACATATAGAACCCTGATCCAAAGATGGGGGCTTCTCCAGTTGGTGAGAGTACAAGAAGCCACCTGATGTCATTGTGCTGGCATGCGGCAGGAGACGCTGGTCTTCGTTTCGCACGGTGGTCCCACTCAGTACTGCTTGAAGGAATTCTCGGGCCGGAAATACGAAGGCCAGGGCGGCCAGGGCGGCCAGGGGGGTCAGGGCTGGTTTGGCTTGGCCCTGGCCGGTGAAAGAGTGAAGCGGTTACATTTCAGTTGGGTTGTAATCAACCAGCTGGAGGGCTTTAGTACCTAAGACTCAGACCAATGTTGATTTTCATCTGGATGCGGCCAAATCAAGTTTGGTGGTGTTTGAAAAAAATGACATGCTACTTGGCCATTGGCTATATTGGGCATGGTTGTCACCACAGAATCAGTTTTCACACACGCATACATATTTGAGCATTTTTTAGGATCTTCTATAGACATAAATAAAAAAACACAACGAATTTATGGTAAACCACCCTATCTGCACCATCCCCAAGTCTACCAGCCCTTTTTTATGGCTGGTTTATTAATTAATCCCCATGGTCCATAGAGGACTCTGGGCCCAGGCAGCGCCGGTATGACGGCCATGTCGGTGCTTCGTGCGGCGGAGGCCAGCTGGGAGGTGGTCGTGGCCAACGATGCAGCGCATGCCAAGGTTCCGCGGGTAGCACTGGAGGTTGGTGGCTGGTTGGTGGCTGGTTGGTGGCTGGTTGGTTGAAGAACGAAGCAACAAAATAGACATGAAGAACCCATGAAGAACCCAAATATCCAGGACGTTTGGCGATTTGAGGGTAAACATCATTGATTCTGATTGATTTTTGGTGTTTCTCATGATGTACGTGTGTTACAAGTGAGGCTTTTTTCACCCTCCAAAAGCATTCGCATTTGCTTGGCTGCCCTGCTTGCATTCCAACATGACAGGGTACATGTCCTACGGCCCAGGCTTATGCAGTTGGAGAAGAGACGAAGATCTGATTTGTGCATTGCTTGAGAAAACAAGGGCATCAGAGGTCATGCGGCTTGCAGGAACTGTTTATGATCTATCAGGCAAGCGGCCACCAAGAAACGCATCAAGTTGCCTTGAGAGTCAGTACACGCCGCTCGCACAGCATCTGGCTGCCAAGCCTAGCTTTACAGATTAAAAATGACCTCTATGCTATGCCAGAATGATATTTCTTTAAGATACTTGGAAAGCAATCTGAAATCACTCCACATCAACCTCCACATGGTTTTTACTGTGTTGCATGTTGAAGAAAGCGTTAAAACACTTAGCATCCCCAACAAAAGCTGCCAAATGATGGGACCAAAGGCTCAGTTGTCAGCTTGGATAACTGGTTTCACTGGGATCTCAAAAGAAGCCACCAAGATACGATGATGCTACGGGTACAGAACCCAAACATGGTCTTGAAATCTCTTGAATCAGGTGTGGGATTTCTTGAAAGCTGATGGCCACAGCATGCACAATTCAAAAATCGATGCCGAAGTGGAGAAGTAGTGGACCGTTGAAAACTGTTGGGCACCCGTAGAGCATCCTTAAAATGCCAGATCCACCCGGGAAGATCATAGAAGATCATTTTCCCACCAGTAAATTCCCATAGTTCGGGCGCAGATTGCAGGTCTATGCACCACCCGACCACGACCAGATACCAGGAGGATTCAACGAATTCGGGTCCTGGGGGCTGTCTGGGTCGATGGCGGAAATCCAAGGAATGGATCTTGTAGGATGATTCAAACAATAGAAATTCGACCTATTCCATCCTATTCCTAGAGGAAATGGCATGAACATGGCCACTCACTCGGATGGAATTTGATATCGGAAGTGTTTCTGGCCGGATATTGCAAGATGACTTTGCCGTTGGATTCAGTCGGCTTTCAGGCTGGATGGAATGCTGTAGTAGCACTATCGTATATTTTATAGATTTCAAAAGTACAGTTATTGAAATTGAAACTATGTGACCACCATTTTGACTATTTGACATACATACATGCATGCATGCATACATGCATACATACATACATACATACATGCATGCATGCATACATGCATACATACATGCATGCATGCATGCATACATACATGCATGCATACATGCATGCATGCATGCATACATACATACATACATACATGCATGCATGCATGCATGCATACATACATACATAAATGCATGCATGCATACACACATGCATGCATGCATACATACATGCATGCATGCATACATACATACATGCATGCATGCATGCATACATGCATACATACATACATGCATGCATGCATACATGCATGCATACATGCATGCATACATACATACATGCATGCATACATACATGCATGCATACATACATGCATGCATGCATACATACATACATGCATGCATGCATGCATGCATACATGCATGCATACATACATGCATACATACATACATACATACATACATGCATGCATACATGCATGCATGCATACATACATGCATGCATGCATACATACATGCATGCATGCATACATGCATGCATACATACATGCATGCATGCATGCATGCATGCATACATACATACATACATACATACATACATACATACATACATACATACATACATACATACAACACACACATACATACATACATACATACATACATACATACATACATACATACATACATACATACATACATACATACATACATACATACATACATACATACTACATACATACATACATACATACATACATACATACATACATACATACATACATACATACATACATACATACATACATACATACACATACACACATACGCAGATACGCACATACATACATACATACAGACATACATGATGTAACATAACATAACATTATATGACTTAGTGTGAAAAAACATTACATCACATACATACATACATACATACATACATACATACATACATACATACATACATACATACATACATACATACATACATACATACATACAACATACATACAACATACATACATACATACATACATACATACATACATACATACATACATACATACATACATACATACATACATACATACATACATACATACATACATACATACATACAACACACACATACATACATACATACATACATACATACATACATACATACATACATACATACATACATACATACATACATACATACATACATACATACATACATACATACATACATACATACATACATACATCATACATACATACATACATACATACATACATACATACATACATACATACATACATACATACATACATACATACATACATACATACATACATACATACATACATACATACATACGTTACATACATACGTTACATACATACGTTACATACATACGTTACATACATACGTTACATACATACGTTACATACTGAAATGTTATAATATATTTTTTCAATATATTAGTAATAATATCCCTACCCTCTTAAAAATGGAATTTGAGGGGGAGGGGAGTCGTACTGAAATTTCATTTTCAAATTCCATTTTTGCAATCATGTTTTCTGAATGATCAATATTCCGGGCAAGCAGATGAAAATTAAATACTTGCGCTTAGCTCCGGAGGAGCTAAGCACATGTCAGACTGAAGCAGCACATGTGTAGGGATGGCATCCCTCCAAAAATTGCGCTGCCGTCATCATACTTGCGCTTAGCTCCGGAGCTAAGCGCAAGTATTTTCTAACCAGTGCCCAAGGCTTGTTAAGAAATGTTACTTTACAATTCCATTTGAGGGGTTGGATCACTATCCCAGGGTTTCCGAGCAAAAAAAAGTGGAATTCGACAGGTTGGTTTTGTCCCCCCCGCCCTCCCCCTCTATAGTGGTAGGGATGTAATAATACCAATTTTCAAAATAATGATAATAAACATAGTAATAATACAATGATAATAATGATAATAATTACAAAATAATGATAATACTAATAATAGTAATAACAATAATAATAGTAATAATGATAATAATAGTGCGTTCTTTGTTTTAGATTGTTTTGGGGCTCAGCCTGAAGCCCTGCGACTTGGGTTATTTTGGTTCCATCAACCCAGGACGCAGACGCAGATGGATGGGCTGAGACCCGGGTGTCTGCGTTCGGAGGCTCAATGGTCAGCAGTGGCAGGGGACCCCCAAGCTGGGGACCCTCTCAACCAGTTGGGGTATGTTGGGGTGAAGGAACATCCAGTTGTTCAAAGTTTTTCGCCCCCCTTTTTCCTTGCAACACCTACAATTTTTCAGCAATCTTTCCGAGGAACCTGAGGTGCAAACATTCCCAGCGATATTCAATGATGAGTTAATGTTGGATAAATTTACAGAGCCATACAGAGCCTTTTTCTTCCCTGCTGCCTTTTCCGAGTCGACCCAGGTTGAAGCAGGGTTGTCCTTTATCGTCAGGAGTCATGGCGCGCTCCGGGGCCAGAATGTTTGCCCTGGCTCTTTCCCTTGCCGTGGCAGCCTGGAGCTAACCGTTTGCAATGGGTGGCGTTTGGACAAGATGGAAGTGGGTCCAGGCGGCATTGGGCAGTTGGTCGTCGCGGAAGGCTTCTTCATTGGGGAGAAGGACATATACAAGGTGCTGAACAAGCAGGGTCGCCGCTACCGTCTTCGCCCCAGTGCTCAGGACCGCAAGGATGGAAAGTCCGTCCCTGGAATTTTCCAGCTGGGCCCTTTCAAGATCCACTTGGAGCAGTGCTTTCGCGGATCCGGTGGTGACGTAGACCTTCAGCGCCCTGAGGGCTACTCGGGCAACGGCGGCATGGCAGGATGGGCTGAGGACCTCCCAGTGAAGAAGCTCGGCTACGGCCGTTGAGAATCCTTGGTACCACGGATTGACAAGATTTTTCCTCAAGTAGTGATGTCACTAGAGGGGATGACGGTCACTTGCAGCGTGCCAAGGCATCAAAATGCAGCTGCGGATTTGTGTTTTTGCATGCTTTTGCTGTGATTGTCAGCGGTTGTCTTCAGTAATTAGATGCTGCAAAGCCGTACGCTGCCAGAGGACAAAAGAGTTGACAAAGCCATTTCTCAACCAACAGATTTTTGTATTTCTTGTGTTTTAGACTTTAGATTTTTTAAAGCAAATCATAGCAAACCCGTGCATGCTATTCCATCACCCAGCTGTTCGCATTGTCATGATTTGGTTCCTGTGTTGCAGCCTTTTCCAAATTCAACAGTCAGCCTGTGTTGAAGAGGCACTGTCTTTTAACATGGCACGCTCCAGTGCCCGAATGTTTGCCCTGGCTCTTGCCCTTGCCGTGGCAGCCTGGAGCTATGAGGGTCTCCGCTCATTTTGCGGCAGCATTGGGTTGACCAGTCGCCAACCAACAACCGCCTGCAATGGATGGCGTTTGGACAAGATGGAAGTGGGTCCAGGCGGCATTAGGCAGTTGGTCGTCGCGGAAGGCTTCTTCATTGGGGAGAAGGACATGTACAAGGTGCTGAACAAGCAGGGTCGCCGCTACCGTCTTCGCCCCAGTGCTCAGGACCGCAAGGATGGAAAGTCCGTCCCTGGAATTTTCCAGCTGGGCCCTTTCAAGATCCACTTGGAGCAGTGCTTTCGCGGATCCGGTGGTGACGTAGACCTTCAGCGCCCTGAGGGCTACTCGGGCAACGGAGGCATGGCAGGATGGGCTGAGGACCTCCCAGTGAAGAAGCTCGGCTACGGCCGCTAACCTGCCAGCCAAGTGAGACACCAGCAAGGCATTTTCCCACTGACGCCCAGGTGTCACAGGATCAAAGCTGAGAGCAGCGCGTGGAAAAGTGGCAGTTTGCGATGTTTGCGCATTGGGCATCCAAGTAGTTTCATGCAGGTTATCTGATAATCTATTGTAGTCATCCCAAACAATAATGTTCAATCATGGCTGTGATTAGATACTGGTTGGTGGTTTGGAACATTTTTTCCTATTCAGTTGGGAATAATCCCAACTGACTCATATTTTTCAGAGGGGTAGGTCAACCACCAGGATCTGTGGGAGGTGCTCCCCAACTGATTTGCCTCCAATCGAAAGCCACCAAGGATGCGTGTGGAGCTCCAGGCGTGGCGCTCCCAGGAGCGCCGAGGCGATTCGTAGCTCCAGACCGTAGATCATGTCTGATCATTTCTTTCGGCTATAGTTTTCCATGTCAAAAATATAAGTCATAAACGTCATATTTCCATAATTTTCCATATATTTCCTATCGTATACCTAGATCCTCACTAACCCTCCATACTATCGAATTACTTTTCAGGGTCAAGGCACTTCCGTCTGGAGAAATCCCGCAGTTTGTCAGAGGTAACGGCAACAATCTCAAAATTGCCTAGGCAAGACGTTTGGATGAATTGTTATCATTCATCCAACTAATAACACTATATTAAATTAATTGAAATTATATAAAGTCATTTCATTTGAAAGTCCCATTATGGTTCACAGCCATTCCCTTAGACAGGGATGGAACGGGATAATAGCTGGGGAGCTGAGCAGCTGAGACCCTTGGATTCTTATCCCAAAATGACCAAAAATTTCAGGTCGATGAATGCTGATTCAACCAGATATTGTTACCATCTGGCTATTTAACATAGCTATGGAAAATCTATTAAAAAAACGGAGGTTTTTCACGGGAAATCATCTGTACATGGGCCATTTTCCATAGCTATGTTAGTCATAGCCAGAGGGTAACAGTATCTTCAAGAAGTAAGTTCCATTCTGTCTGTATGTCAGACAGCGACGACTAGATTTTGACCAAGTTCTCAGACAGTTCCATGGAAAGTTCCAGGATTTCCCAGCCATTTTAGATTACCTATTGGGATATTCCATTCATATTCCATGAAAAGTAACCCTAGCCAATCGAGTTGGTTCAGTTGGTTCATATGATCACCATATTTCCATATAAAATATCCGCATCAATCCATTTGAAGTTCCATTTTTCATCACAATATCAGTCAGATTACATAAAACTGGTGGAATGATAATTACCACCCATTGGATCATAAGTCCATCGACTTATAAATTGTTGGCCAGTGATGATTCCACACAAATGTCCAACAAATCTCCCAATAATCATCCCTTGAGTTAGAGTTTTAATCATCCGTTGAGTTAGAGTTTTAAATTCTTGCTTGGTTATTATCATGTTATATCAATATCTACAGTATATATCAATTATATATATAATATTGCATATATAAAATTACATACACACACACACATATATATATATATACATATATATATATACACACATATATATATATATACATATGTCCCAATAATCCATTGAGAGTTCCATTTGATCTTCATCTTCCATCGGATTTTGTCCTAGGAGCAGCGCCTGCACGTGGCCCTCCGCTCCGAAGCGGCGCTCTGCCAGGCCCTGCGCGAGCACGTGAATCTGGAGGAGGCGGCACGCTGCAGGGCGCAGGAGGCCTGGGATTGCCCGGAAAGGTGGGAAAACCCATGGAAAACCCATGGTTGAACCGTTGAAGCCCCATGAAATATATGGGATTATATGGGTTTCATGGAAAATGGTTCCGTTAAATCAAGCCAATGGGATGAAGGTGAGGATGGTGAGGATGGGTAGCATGTTCAACCAAGCAACATGATGATTTATCCAAGAGTTGATCAAACATGGTGGTATAAGGAGGCGATGGAGAGAGAGAGAGACAGAGAGAGAGAGAGAGAGAGAATATAAGAGAATATAAGGAGATCATGGGGACATACTGGAATAAATATGAATAGATGATGTTGCGCCATTTACTGCGACGTCATTGGAATGACCGGAGTCGGATTAGGGCCGAGCTGTTGATGTTAGGGAATGAGGATATATTCGGATAATTCTTCCGGATGGTTAGGGGTCATAACATGTCAGAACTATTGGTCAAAACCATTAGTGGCATATTATTAATGGGATATTTATTGGATATTGTGGGCTACCAGCCATTTTTGCAGGACTCATTGTCTGATCTTCGAGATCAACCATATCATATGGGTGTAATGGCCTTAACAACCAGCAACATACTGACATCATACGCCATACGCAACAACGAGGAAGCAATCATGTAATACTGTAATCATGCCATATGATATGATTGGATGGTATTGGATCTACGGTTCGGACAATAATTTGTGAAACACTTTTTTTTTTTTGTGTGGGAATGCTTGGCATATTGGGCCTTGCAGTTCTCACATTAACATGCATCAACTAGTTTGGACGGTATCTTTGAACGGTGATGCTGGGGGTTCCCTCCAGGAAATTTTGGATTGTTTTTTCAGTGGGACTACATATCCAAAAAAATCATTGATCACCAGGTTTCTTCACAAGAAGTCTTTGCAACCCAGAACTAGATAAAGGAAAATATGGCAGGATAGCCCGATAGTAAGTGGTAAAATCATGGTTTCCTGATAAATCCTGTTGTCATGTCCGGCGACTCATAGGAAGCCGTGTCCGAGCGGAGAAGTGAGGAGGTGGTTGCCCAGAGATCGCAGCAGGCGTGGAGTCACCAATATTTTTCAATGTTTTCAAGTTCTTTTTTGGAAGCTGCTCAATGACAAAAACAGATTCTGAACGGTCCTTTCAAAGATCTGGGTCTTGGCTTTTCTGAGATTCCTTTGGATATTTTGGATCATTCTTGGATGCGGAACCTTCCAGAAAATAAATGCTTCAAAGGGTTGGCTGGCAAACTTAGACGGTAGAACATGCAAATGATTCATTTTGCCTAGCAGTGATGGTTGTCGATTTTTTCCACTAGAAACAATGGTAAGCTGAATCGTTGGAAAGGTGTGATTTCTGCATATTCTATGGGATTGTCCTGGATTTTCCTATGGATTTTCTAATCACAAAGCCAACATTTGGCATGACATTCGGTATTTTTGGCAGACATGGTTCCCAAAAATCCTCCCAAACAAACCACCAAACATCGAAGCATATATTTCCGCACCATATATGCATATAGTATAATATATATATATACCTATATATATATAATGTAGATATATACCCACTTCTCACCAAAGATGCTTGATTGATTCCCTGATGGGAAGATTACAGGAATCCCTTCTATTTCCGGGCAAAAAGCAGATTGTCCTAACTATATAATTCCATCCATTGAAGGGATTAGCCATCAACAAACCAGCAACAAATTACTGCAGCCTCTTCCCATCCACAACCGTAATTGGATCCCCTGTTTTGATTTAGCTTTTTTCAATGCCCTAATAATTGGTACCAACCATATTTAGGTGATTATATACATCCCCTCTCTTGATAGCTTAATACTATATAATATAGGTTATCAATTGTTATTCATTCACCATTAGTGGACAATCCCCTGCAATAATCGTGATAATAATTGGCTCTGAATTGTTAACCCCTATGATATTAGGAATATTCACCATTGATATATTCACGTGCTATGATTATTAATCCTGGGCGTCCAGGTGCGCAGCGCCGTGGCGCGAGCCAGACAGGGCACTGAGAAGTTGGCAGAGCTGATGGGCGTGCTACGCCAGGTGCGGGGACAGCTATTTGGGATGAAGATACTATAAAGTTGGGGATGGTTAGGGAATTTTGGATGATTTTTGGATGTTTTTGGGACATCTTGATCTTTCTTGGATGTTTGTGGATGGTTTGGGTGCCTCGCGAAACCTCTGTCGATGTATTCTTTTGATCCTTCCGTTTGTCGTTCATGCAAAATTGGCACGGAAGTTTTTCTTGGCAAACCACTATAAGTCAAATGGCAATGGTTCGGGAATATATGGGAATATGCCCCAAAAATGCATGGTTAACAGGTGAAACATGACAAATTCCTGGCGCATTGGTTTTTCGCCACATGAGGCTCAGTCCTTAGCACCCAGCTTGCAAGAGGCCGGGAAGGTTGGTCATCTGGCAGGTCCAACCAGCAGCAGATTCCTGCACCGGTTTCATCCGGTGGATTTGGTTGATGTTTCCTGAAGCTTAACGAAGGTCAGCATGGATCATCATTCACGTCACCTGCATGTAGTTCTGTACCTTTATACTCCTCCGCGTCTACATACTGAACATGCATGCAGAGATCAAGTCAGACGGACGGAGAGAGATGGAGGCATGTACGATCATTTATGTATGGATAATTATGGATAAATTCACTTGTATAATATATATATACATACATACATATATATATATGCACATGTCATGTTTATATAGAGAAAAAGAACGAGAGAGAAGCTTCCCTAACCCAATAATAATCATTAATCACAAACCACCTCGACATGCTGATTCTGTCCATATCTTCAGCTAGGAAGTCGAGAAACTGGAGCTAGAAGAGCGTCAAGCACAAGTCTCCAAATGGTGGTGCCTCGTTTTTTTTTTTGGGGGGGTGGGCGCACTATCAGGCAGGAATCGCATCTGGCTGCTGGTTTCAAATCTATCATGTGGAATGCGGGCATATTATCATCGGGAATTTACGTTCATTTATTTGGACCTTATTTACTATGAATTTACGTTCATATTATCATCGGGAATTTACGTTCATATTATCTATTATGGATCACAACTCTCAATGACTAATATCCTTGAGATTGAAACCACCAGCCGGAGAAGAGACACATGAGGTCCCAAACCCAAAAAGATGGGGAAAAAAAGGCCCATGCCCTATTTTGATCAAATTGCTGTCCCGGGAACCCTTCCTTGCACATCAGGTTTTAGATGGTTTTACTAAGTATTCGCCCCAGCACACCTACATGAAATTCACATGCAACATTCTTGCTTCTGACGTGACCTTCCCTTCGCAATCGTGGTACCTATCACATCGCATTCCAAACAACTTCCATTGTTTCAAATGCAAACAACAAACATGGATGTGTCTCAAAGTAAGGGACCCCCAAGTTTCATGGGGAATGATCATTTCCTGCGATGAAATCAATTACCATTTTGAGGTATTCCCCCCCAGTTTCAAGCAGACCCAAACATTTGCAGCAACGTTGATGTATCTCAGAACACCCAGATGGTTCATATTCGCAAGCGCCCGTTGGGCTGAAGCCTCTCCAGCCTAGGGCCGAGAAACGTTGGCAGGACTCGACTTCCGCTGCAATCAGAAAAGATGGCAAGATGAAGCAATGAATATCATGTTCCAATCATTTTGCGATTTTGAACTACATGAGCGTTTAGCATGGTTTTCAAGGCCTGTTTACTCGGGAGCAGGATTGCATAGGTGCTTGGTTCTGTTTGTATGTGCGTGTGGGTATATACCTATCATATCTACATTTACAATTTACACACACCCACATATATATATATATATCTGGTTGGTGGTTTGGAACGTTTTTTATTTTTCCATATGTTGGGAATAATCATCCCAACTGACTTTCATATTTTTCAGAGGGGTAGGTATACCACCAACCATATATATATATATATATATTTATACATACATACACATCCCATCATCCAGGACGCAGCGCGTGACCTGAAGCTCTTGGAAGATCAGCGCCGCTTTTAGCGAAAACTCTGGGGAGGATGCTGCAGGGAGGGGCTCCCCTTTTAACTCGATAGTTTTTTATTTTGCTGTAAAAAAGATGCTTCAATCAATCCATTGAGAGAAAGCAAGATACAACACGATGGAGAGGGTGATGGAGAGAGAAACATGTTTTCATGGATTTGTTTAGCACGTGTTAAGTGCAAGAGGGATACTGTACACAGATGCAGTGAAGAAAAATGGAAATGAGGAAACTATAGGAACCTTACCAATATCAAGGTCCTTCCCGACACCATTGATATCAGTGGCCCACCCTCCAACTTGAAGCCCTCATGAATTAAATGAAACCAATCACTCTGGGCACTTGCGTCCGAAAAATGATGGGACACAAATTGACCAGCCATATATATATATATATATATATTTGATCAGCAAAACAACCATGGTTTCTGGCAGTTTCTGGTAACGCCCAAGAAATCCATGGATTCCTGACCAAGGACAAGAAGTGTGGCTTGAAGAGAAGGAAACCCAACTCCGCATGGAGGAGTTTTCGGAGCAATTGAGCCTTGGCTCGAAGTGGCACCCTGAAATTCGATGGTGGAACCCCTGCAACTATGGCGAACTATGGCACTATGGGGAGCAAGTGAGATATTTGGCTGGATGTTGGGTTCTTTTGCTTGATTCAGCTTGAATCTCAAGGTATTTGGGAGACATCACGTGTTGGAGAATGGCACAGCCACCTTTTTCTTGGCAGTTTATTTGGAAAAGACAATAGGTGGAACACTGAACTTGCCGCCGCTCATTTTCTATGCTTCAGGAACCTGACTGAAGTCGTGCTAGAGCTGGTGAGACATGACTTGAACATGCACTTTATGCAAGCAACTACACGTATTACATGACTATATGTGCTTACAGTTGACATGCAAATCATATTCAGGGTCATGATCGGAGTTTGATTTGTTCCTTCATGTTTTGAGCCCGTTTGCGTGTTAGAATCTTTAAAAGACTGATGGAGAAAAGAATGGCTGGCCTCCATCGGCCCCATTGTTGAAGCAATGTCGTCCATGTGCGCCTTCGAGATGGAAGCGTTCTCAGAGCAAGCAACGAGAACGGTGGATGAGTGGTTGCTGGTTGTTTGCTTCAGGCTTCTTTTTATTGTTCCTCCTGTGTCACGGTCTAATCATATAGGACATCCTATGACGCAGTATAATTATTAGCTTATGCCGATGCCTATTAACTGTTAGCCTATGCCTATTTCATCCTATTTCATTCATGTCATTCTATGTCAATTTTGTCTGCATGAACTATAATGACCTCACTGTGACGCCACTGACATCGGATGGTTCGTAAGGGAAATCATTCCTCTTTAGGCTCCTTTTTCAACTATTTGCAGGTTTGTGAGTTACATAGAATTCATAGCCAAACTTTATGTTTCCCCAGTGGATGGACATGCCGCCATGAGTGCCCCACGTGTTGTTTCTCACCAAAGAACCACACTACGTGTGATACGAAAAGTATGTTTTGAAAGATCATATGTTCATGATATGCGGTAGTTTAACAAAGCTATGGAAACCATGGCCCATTTATTTATAAAGTTCGATGATTTCCCTGTTATTTCCGTTAGTTCCAAAGTGTAGCAAATGACCAGAGGGTAGTGGTTACCCAAATCCCCAAATGGCCATTTGAAAAAAGCCTCATGTGAACTAACGATGTGGAAAAGCCACCATTGGTAGATCATTTGTAGATCATTTCCCGGAAACAATTCATAGTTTTCCGCATTGTTACGCTTGGATATCCCATCTACTTTTATCGAGAATATAGAAATGAACGTATATATGAGATGATTCGGAATCAACATGCTTGTCATTGTGAAAGCTTCGGTGATACTTGGCGAAAAGAGGACATGCACATGTCTATATAGTTGTTTTTTTTCTAGGCTAGGGATGACCGAGAACTTCTTTCAGATATACAGCAGGCTGCTATGAACAGAATTGGACCTTTCGGAAAGAATTCCTAAAGATCGTCACGAATGGGATCTTTGCGTCCCAAGGCCTTTGGCCTCTCGAGGTAACGCTCTTGGTAGTGTTCGTGAAAACGCGCTGGATGCTGTCGAAAAACTTGCCTCCCTCATCACTAGCTCACTGAAGAATGGCACCCCTCCTAGTGCATTCTTAGGATCATCCTTTTATTCTGTGTCTTAACTTCTCGTTTCATTGCGTCAATTGATGAAATGACTCTTGGCAGCCTGTTAAGTTGCTTACGGAGGGTTTGCCAGGGATCCACCAACGTTTCATTCCAAAGAAGCGTTTTGTGTGTTCAAGAGAGAGTACGAAACGCTTCTTGCGGTTTTTTCCTGGAAATGATGCCAAAAAACGCTTGTTTCAAAATTGCATATCTACCATCACTGCAGTGAAACTTGATGCGATTCTGACACCTCCTGATTGATCGCTTATGCTTGGTAAAAAACCTGAAAACCTGGTGAAAACTTAGTGAAAACCTGGTGAATTTCCAAATCTTGGTGAAAATCTGGTGCATTTCCAAAAACTTGGTGAACACCGGGTTATTTCCAAAACCTGATGGAAACCTGGTGAATTTGCAAAACCTGGTGAAATCTTGGTGAATGCCAAAACCTGGTGAAAACTTGGTGAAAACTTGGTGAATTCGCCAAGTTTTCACCAAACCAACGAAAGAAGCATTTTGTGCACTGAAGGATTCTGGTAAAACGCTTGTTGCATTCCACACCCGAAATAGTATAATGAAAACGCTTGTTGCCTTCCAAAATTAACAAATAAGCAACTTGACATGGCAGCCTCTTCTGGCTTCCTAACTATGCCCGTCTTCTACCAGCAGCGCAATTTTAAGTTCCCAATCTGTTGACTCTGTCTTTCTATTCCTGTTCTTTAGACTCCATCCGGCTATGTCCTGGCGACATACGTAGAAACTGTTGGGAGCCCATTGTGCCAGTATCTAATAATGTATTACAATGCATATATAAAAATAAATTTAACATAGTATGTTCCCCCGAAATTTCCCACGACATCGCCCCCCCAGTTGGGTCTCAGCAACTTTCGAGGCGCGAAGGTTGCCGCGAGGAGCTGCTGGGCCGGGTGCTGCGGGTGCATCGCCTGGGGAAAGGCTTGAGCTTCGTACACCTAGAGGTGGGGGCAGCGAGATGGAGTATGGGGAGATCATGAGAATATCATGTTTTTCCCATGTTTTTTCTAATCTGGGTGGCTTGTGGATGCCTATGTTTTCGGGATTTAAGCTCAGAATTGCTATTTTTTGATATTATATATATTTTTTGTGGGATAGAATGGGGATACATCTGGGATATGCATATAACTAAGGGCATTCATCAGGGGTTGGCAACTGAAATGGAGGTTTCGCCAGCAAGAAATGGGGGCTTCACCAACCAAAATGGTAAATTGGGACGTGGAGACGGCCGCAGGATTGCCCTTTTGACAGGGACGATTGTGATAAACACATTGAGATTGTCCGGGTAGCCATAGCATCATCAATTTATAGCCATCATTGCATTCACAATTTTCATGGTGCATCTCAACATGTTTGAACCACTATTAGCCCACAAGAAAAAGCCAAGTTTGGTAATTATTACAGGCTACCTCCAACTTTAACAGGGAAATCTCCAATTTTCAATATCTATAAGAATAAAAATGACTAAATTACGATATATTACGATTCTTTATGGGATAGTAGCAATACTAGCAATGCCTATAATATAGGCCAAACGGCCGGTGACATGCTGAGATCCACCGACATGTCGCAGGTGGGTGCCGCAGATCCTATGATCGTCACCTTTGAAGCTGCCACCTATGATCCGCTGCCGATCTCAATCCCCTTCCCAGCGGCGCGCAGCGCAGCTGGAAAGTTGCAGGGTGAACATCTCAGGGCGCCCTGGTGCTGAAAATCGACCCGGTCATTTGAGATCCAAATCAGCTCTAGGACTTTCCTTGGCAACTGTTCTTGTTTTTGGACATGTATTTCCTTGTGTTTTCTTGGTTGCAAAGAGCCTTGTTGCGTTTTTTTCTCCAGGAGGGGTTGAGGAAGGCCCTGGAGCCCCACAGCCAGCTGTGTGCCCAGGTGGTGACTGAAATGCAGTTCCGGCAGCACATCCAGCGATGGCTGAGATGCGTTCTGCGTGCAGCGCTTGAGTCAGTTGAGGGTTCCTGGATCGAAGCTGGCGAATGGTGGGAGAATGGCCATGGAAAACCACCATTTTTAAGAGGTAACTCAACTGGGGTATTTTAAATAGTTATTTCAAATTATCAGATGATAACCCCTTAAAAGATGGAAAAATCATCTGCCATAATCTGCCACTTTGTTTTCTTCAAGATCTTTTGGTGGCGGGTTGCTGTACGACATAGGGAGTTTACTAGCAAAAACCCGGTGTTTCATTTTCAGTTTCATCAATGATTAAATGGGGGCATTTCTGACAATATGATCCCATCACCCTGATAAAAACTCTAAATTGGTGGGACCCGAATAGTAGCAAGATGTAGCAAGCTTCAAGACAAAACCAATGGTTTTTCAGGAGGTTCTACCGGGGGGGTTATTTGCAGAGCACCTCGGTTTCTTCAATGAATTGAGCCCCTCAACTGGGTGCTTCCATGTGCTTCCCAAATTTCGGGTACCCGAAACCATAGGTTTTCCTACCGAAATTCGAAGTGCCCCGGTCGAAGAACCCCCAATTTCTGCAAGGTAAGGAGACACCAGAGATCTCTGCTCCAGCAGAAGCTACTCACGGTCGGAGGAAAGGTGCCGCCGCCTGTGCGGGATGGGTCAGGTGCCCGTTGTGCAGCAATCAGAGGAGTTTCAACCGCGGCGCTGGCTTGAATCTTGGATGCAACGAATATAAGTAGGTTTGTATGGGAGATATCCCAAAATGACAGTTTTTAAACAAATTTGTATGGGGTAATTAAAATGCTGAACAAACAAGGCTCGGACGTGTGAAAATGGTTTGTTTGGGAGAACGGAGTTTCTTTGTTGTTTTTGTTTCATAGGTCCATTTGTGCGATCTGTGTGTCCTTTTGTTGTGTCCGAGGATGGTTTCCGGCATCTTCGAGTGTTCTCTGAAGGTGTTGACACCAAAGTTCACTGCAACACTAAAATAAACAAGCAAACAAAAAAAACTATAGATAAATAAATAAATAAATGTGTATAATTATATATAAATATATATGTATATATATAAGTATATGTATCAAAACCATTTCATACACGTGCACGCGCATGGATTACCTCCATCATTGATGGTAAGTTGTTCATAGTTGTTTCACCTCTGCAAGATGATATGAACTGCTGCGGTTTAGGTGCTATACCGTACCCCGGTGGCCCCAGGAGGCAACACCTGATGACGGTGCATCAGCAGGAAGCGGTGGGAGAGGACTGGCTAGAGAAGATGGCACAGCTGGCAGATAGCCAAGGCACGGCCCGGCCTTGGAATCATGGGGGGATGGGCTGCGGTTTATGTCATGGGAATCATATGGACTTATATAATCTTATATATATACTATATGATTGGCCGTTTACTGTCGTTGAATGAGTTTTTTTTGAAAGTTTAGCTGTAAAATGTTGTGAAACCGTGTTCAAGATGTTAAATTCACAGCTACGAAAACTGCGCAAATGATTGGGGTACCTTCAACAACGATATCCAAGCTACACGGCTGCAGGAACCCGGGTAGGATTCGCAAAAACAATGGACGCGCCAGCGAGGTGGCGTGACCCGAAAATTTTGGAGCCTCCCGAAAGTTGCGAAATGAAGATCTGCACACATCCCAACTGTCCCAACTGAAACCATCAAACATCAAACCATCCTTGGTCCAAGACCCCACTCCCGAGGTATATATCCCACCCGCGGTGGCAGTGCTATGCGCACTGCTACATCTCGTGTGCATGGCTCAGACGTGCAAAGTCAAGGTGCCAACCTGATTCTCCCTGGACTGGTGGCGGCCAGGGATGGTCCTTCAGCGGCGGTTTGATGCGTTTTTTTGGAGGATGCTTGTGGCTGATAAGATGTTGCCGTGTGAATGCATGTGTACATGTATATGAACAAAATGCCACCTGTTTTGTTTATTCCCAACTCTCGTCCTGAATCTATGTCTGCATATTTCGGGATAAATTATAATGACCTCACGTGGCGATGTCATTGGAATGATGGTGAGGATTGGGGTAAATATTCCAAAATAAAGATAGGATAGCACAGGCTTATGTCAGGTCAGTGACTTGTTATGTTTCACCCAGGTACCCTCTGGTGAACTAACATAGCAATGGAAAATCACCATTTTTCATGGGAAAATCCACTATAAATGGCAATTTTCCATTGCTATGTTAGTTCACCAGAGGGTATTTGTATCACTGTGACCTCCATATCTGACATCCATATCCCAGCCATGTCTTCACCATCCTACAGCAATCCATAGCAATCCCAGGTGACGTGTCGACGCTCCAGCAGCTGCTGCTACAGGGCTGGCGTCCCTTGGGTCCAGGGCAGCAGGACCGCCATGGCTCCAGTGCGGTGGATTGGGCGGCTGGGAGCCTGGGCAAAATCATGTGAGTCAAACATGTCAAAATGGTGGTTAACAATGGTTAACATAATATGTTAACATGGTTGTTTCCAATTTTTTTTCTGTTGTGAGGCTGGCTCTAGAAGCCTAACTTATGGGATTTGAAGTTTCAAGTGGCGTTGGAAGATATAGCCTTTCACGACTATGGACTCTGCTACGGGGCATCCAGAAGTCAAACTGGACCGAAAAAATCGTGGCATGATGTGGCATGTCGGTGGATATCAGAATATCGCGCATCCTGAATCAGCGACATTTCCATCGTTTAGTCTGGAAAAGTTTTGGTACCACATGGTCATTGATTTTTTTGCTGAGTTATGTAGTGTTTGATGATCCAGCACTATGATTTTGACGAGTTGCTGGATTTTGCCACTGTACTTGATTTGTTCATAAATTGTACTTTTAAGTGAGCCTTGTGGTTTTCAAGACAGAGACTCAGCCACAAGGAATGGCCACTTGGAGTGCGTCAAGTTGTTACTGCCATACACGGACGCTTGCCCGCTGTGGCTGTTGGCACTTTTTTTGGGTTTGTTCGGCTGTGGCTGTTTTATATATTTTATCCCTGAGCATTTTTGACTCATCTTTGCCATAGATTGATTTGTATTTTTTTTTTTTCTGTTTTCACATTGTTTCTTCATTTTTTGTTGTGTATTTTCTCGCCAATTCTAGTTCAAGAATGCATCTCGCAGTTCTTAAACCCCTACAACGTACTCGTAGGACACAAAAATATTTTGACGAGTATTATATTGTATTGTTTGATATTGTTTTTATGCATGTATTGTTATAATATATATATATATATTGTTAATGACTTATCTTATTGCCGATTTTTGAAAGTTTCAGCAATGTCTTCATGTCCTGCTGGACCCCTCCGCCAAAGGACGGCCGACAACTCTGCCGCCGCGATGGCCGCGGTCCCCTGCACTGGGCCTGCCGCCACGGGCGGCTGGACATGGCCAGGTTCTTGTTGAGCCTGGGAGCTGTTGAGCAGCGGGCGGCGGATGGCACCACACCGCTGATGCTGGCGTGCGGCTTGGGCAATGGAAGGATGGGATGCCAGAAATGGTGACCAACAGTGACCAACTAATCATGGGGATGGATCTTAACCACCAACAACCCCGTAATTACCCTCTGGTGAATAAACATAGACCCTGAAAATAGCCTAGTTTTAATGGAAACTAATCTTCCAACCCCTATCTGCCAGGGTCTATGTTAATTTACCAGAGGGTAACTACAGGGTTTATGAATCATAGTCATAGTTTCTTAGTAGGGGGATCACCTTTGGGCGTTGGTCGAAACCCGATCCCATGCAAGTATAGATTGATATCTATCATAGTTAATTACCATAGTTAGCCCAGTTACAAGCCAATTGACCTATAGGGCGACCCACATTGGAGGAGTAGAGAAAGTTGGTAAGCCCAAGGATAAACCCCATACCAACAATTAGCAGTTGTTCTTTTGATAAACCTCAAAAAAATAGGCTTCATGAATGCTCCATGATTCAATGATTATGATATCATTATGATTGAACATGTATTCAATATGATGTTTATAACATTTTATAATATTACAGTTACAGTCGTTTTGATGCTGCTGGGGATATCCACAGCATCCAGGTTTTGGGGGCCACACCGAAGTGGCTGACTACCTGCTCTCTGCCCGGGCGGACCTCGCGGCCCAAAACAGCTACGACTGCGACGCTGGGCACTTCGCTGGTCTGGGCGGCAGTGTGGCGGCCTGCGAGTTTCTGCTGGAGAAAGGCGGCGGCATGGGGGCTGGGTGCTGCTAAACTGGGGGAGCCACAGTTTTTAGGCGGGAAGCTCTATTTCAGTAATAGTCTATCACTATGTCATGTTGATATATTTTGGGGGATAATACCTCCCCCGTAACAGTCAAGGTTTATTAATCCAGCGTTGGCATTAGTAATGTTTTGTGTTCAATGTTGAAGCGGATGGGTGGCTGAAAGGATAGCAATAGCCGCAGCCATCGAATGTCTTTGATTGACAGCACCAATTTTCATACAAACCACTTCTTTCGATAGTGTTTCACTTTTCCATTTTTTCCGAGAGTCGCTGACCTCCGGCAATTGAAGATGGCAATGGATAATTGAATCACCATTGAGAAACGGGAACACCATTTATAACTGGATAAATCCATCTAACATCCATAAATGGAGGATATTCCATCAATGGAAAAATCCCCATTGAACCCACCTTTTTCGGATGTTCCATCACCATTGCGACTCCCTCCAGGGCTCTCCCTGACGCGGCCGCAGTCGTCGGGACACACGGCCCTGCACAAGGCCGCGGAGCGGGGGCATCTGCCGTTGGCCAAGTGGTTAGTGGAGACCTGTGATGTGCAGCGGCTCCGCGGGGAATGTGGCTCGGGCTTCATGTGGGGGTCGCCCAAGTTCAGAGCTGTGCTACAAGCTTCTTGGGGCATCTATATATATATCTATATAACCCATATATTCGTCATATTCGTCAACATCAATCAAGCCCATTGCACCAGAAAACAAAGCACAGCCACCAAAAGGACGAGACCGACGAGACGAAAAGATTCGGTGGCATCGAGAGAGAGAGGAAAAAGAGACATGTGGCGTGCTCGAGTTGCACTTGAGCCATAACCCATAGGATCCATGGTGCTGGTATATATGCATTATATATGCTAACATTTGGGGTATATTGATGGTAAATGTTTCCATATATATATATATAGCATACATGGATCCTATGGGTAATTTAAGGCCCGGACCATTTCAGCCCGCATCACATGGCGCCGATTCTCAGGTCCCTCCACCTGCGAGGCGGCCGAGCGGTGGTACGGTGCCCATCTTCCATCGGCCCTAGCGCGGAGGCACGGCCACGAAGCCTGCGCGGTGGAACTGGAAGAACTGGGCCTATGATGGTTGGAAGATGAGCGCTGTAACATGCTGAAACGCTGTGGAGCCCAGGTTGCAGTTGGATGTTTAATGATCGTTTTTTGTGAGATTTGCAGATGGCTTCTTTACATTCGTTTGTTTTGGGGCAAATGGGTTTACATTTGCATGGTCTTTTGGCAGATTTGATAGGCAGTCATAGCCTCCCAACAAGATGAAACACCTGGATTGCTCCTTTGGCGCTGCATTTGATGGCCGAATCATTGGGTTTAAAATTGTTTGTAGTTTGTATTGCTAGCTGTACATAGTGTAATGTGTTACATACCGTGATGCAATGGCTCAAGAAAACAAGTTGCGCTAGCTGGTGCATTGTGGCTTGTTAGCCTGTCAAACAGGTTATCAGCCGTAACGCCTTTTCTCTAGGTAGGCATGTCTGCCCCCTCAGGTGCTTCCTCTGAGGGCCCCGGTATCCCCGTTTCCTCTGATGCAGCCATGGCGAATCCGGGAGCCTTGCCTATATCCGACACCCCATTTTCTGTTGACATAAGCACACCACCCAGCTCCGATAAATCGCAAAGCCTAAGGGACCGACGCCACTTACCATCAATGCGTAACGCAATTGTGCCTTCTCATATTGGTTTCAACCACCATGGTTACGTCCCCCAAGCCGCTCGGGAGGGTGGGCCGCCGACTCGCCAGTTGAACCAAACGAATGTTCACAACATTTTCCATCACAATGTGCAAATGGATAATCCTCAAGTGAATTTTGTCGAGCAGAATTTGCATGTCCATTCACATGATACTGCGATGACAAGCCTTGTGGAAACAGCGGCCGAGCTCCGCCATCGTGAGGTGTTGGCTCATACCGAAGCTCAGGCTGAAGCTATCCACACGGCCAAGACTGAGGAGTTGAAGGAAGCTTTGCGAGTCCGCGAGGGCATTGAAAGTCAGAGGGCCCTAGATGCTATCAGAATCAAAGAACAAGAACTTTTGAATGCGGGTGCCCAATATAAAGAGAACTTACAGCATGAGGCGCATGAACACGTAAGGTTCCGTGAAGCTCAGATGAATGAGAAAATTCAGGCATATCAACGTGTCATTGATGCTAACCATCGACAATCACTATCAAGTAAGGAGCAAGAGATCCTTGAGTTGAAAAGAGCAGCTGAGGAAGAGAGAAGGATTCAGAATGAGCGTATCACACAGCTTGAACACATGGTACAAGCCCAAATGCAACATAATCTGAAACTACAAAGTATGCTCGATTCCCAATTTGCTCAGGTTCGTCCAAGCCCGATTGTTGAAACTGCCGCCATGACCATCACAGCCGGAACTCATGCATCAACGGAGATCCCAAACTTTGAGTTTGTTCCACCGACCACACCCGCAGCGCCTCCGACGAGTGTTGCCCGACCTCCTATTCCAAGAACACCGATTAACTTTACTTCACCTGGTACTGAGACTTATGAAAAGGATGGTATTGAAATCATTTATCATGATCCATCATATCAAGCTCCAGTTCATGTGAAGAAGGAATCGGACATTGCAAGGTCGTCCATGGATGAACGCCCTTCGGGAGGAGAGGCCACCACTCGACGCCGTGATAACCATCCCACAGATAAGATCAATTCCCCTGCACCGACCAATCTGTACACCCCGACCGAACTAGGCCCTGAAGATATGGAGTACTTCGAGCCGGGGGGCGATGATGCACCTGATGGGGACGATCCAGGGGATGGAGGAGATGGCAACGGAGGGAACGGGGGAGGTGGACCACCATCACCACCTGATCCAATGGATAAACCTGAAGGGGATAAGAACCGTAAGGTGCCCAGAAAAGGTAGGGCTGGTCCTAATCCTCCTGACGGCGGTGATGACGGTGATGATGATCCCGATGATGATGATGATGAGAAGTTCAGGCGAAGAATGATCAAATTTCTAGGTGGTTACATTGACCCAAGGCATGATGACAAACCCAAAGTCAAGGAAGCTGACACCATCAAGATCCCAGCATTCCCATTGGCAGAAACCTATCGCAATTGGAGAATTAAGACCAGAGAAGCAGTTGTAGCAGCATCAACCGATCCCGACAGTGCTTTCAAGTGGATTAGTGATTCTTGGAAAGAAGAACAGACTCTTGAAGCGCTCCGGAAGGTTGCGCCGTTTGCGACACTTGATGCAAAGTTACTTTCTGCACTCACAAATATCATCACTGGTGACTTCGCCCGTAAGGTAGATACCTTCAAGGAGACTGAAGCCACTGCTGGACGGATTGTAAGGGGAAGACAAGTGTTGTTCATGTTGCATGACCACTTCAGTACCAACATCAAGCACGGAGCAACCTATGCCCTTCAAGATTTGTTCAGCGTCCAATTGCGTGGGGAAAATTTGAAGTCATTCATTTCGAACTGGGATCAAGTGTTGGCTGGTATCGTACAGACTCCTGATGTAAGTGTATTGGAGACACTCTTCTACAAACAAGTGAAGAATTGTAAGGCCATCCAACATGACATGAATGAGTATCATAGAGCTGATGAAGGAACCGAAAAACGAAACTACAGTTTCCTTGTTTCTGCTGTGCGACGCCACCTTGACCGTGAGAGGTTGGAGGCAAATCGTGATCGAGTTGCCAAAGGTCTTTCGGGTTCCGGTCGTCCCTCCGCTCCCGCAGTCGAGGGCAAGACAGGATTTATCCCCAAGGGGTATTGTGTGGCATGGAATAAGGGAGGCTGTAGCAAGGACAACTGTACTTACAAGCATGAAGTCCCCAAGCCACGTGACAGAAGTCGCAAACCCAGCAAAACCAGAGGTCGCTCTACTGAACGTTCTGGTTCTCCCAAGCCAAAGGGGAAAGGCAAGAAAGTTTGCAAGTTTTGGAGACAGGGACGTTGCGATAGAGGAGCTGATTGCAAATTCCTTCATGAGGGTTCAGTGGGAAAACCAAGACAAGCTACTCCTGCCCGTTCGGCCAGTAGCGAAAACAAAAACAAAAAGAGAAATCCCAAGAACCCGAAAAGGAAGGGATCCCGAAGCTCTAGCCGCTCTAAGAGCCCCAAGAGCCCGAAATCCCCGAAGTCTAAAGGATCCGGGGCCAGTTCATCTAAGCCGTCTCCTGCCGCAGTTTGTCTTGTTGCATCCATGCTTGCATCCGTGTCTCAGGCATTCTGTATCCCTCAGCCAAGAGTATTTTGTCCATCGATTCGTTTTGATGATTCACCGGACGTATCTCATGTGAAAGTCCGAGGGAACTTGAGGCCAATTGGAAACGCAGTCACCAAGGATAAGGTTACCTTTCCATGGGGACATCGGTTTGAAGTTGATCAACTTGCTGTAAGTGATGCCGCTTTGACCGGTACCATGTTAGCAGGATCTGTTTCCAATTGTCTTCGGGGAATTGAATGCAAATGTGCCTATTTATGTGACACAGATTTTGGTTGCAATGAATGTATCCCAAAGGGAATCAAAGCCACCCCTGCGGAATGTAGAGAAGACGTGAAGGGAGCGATCAACTTCGAACTTGACTGGATTGCAGATACGGGGAGCGCTCAAGATCTTGTCAATGATAGTGAATTGCCAGATGACTATGGATACTACTCCAACAATCCCATTCGCATGATCACTGCCAATGGTGAAAGTTCGTCATCAAAACAAGGGAAAGTATTTGTTCCAAAATTAGGCAAGACCATTGACCCATATCTTGTTCGAAGCTCACCTCCTGTCATTTCAGTCGGGATGAGGTGCATTGATGATGGTTACGACTTCATATGGAGAGGATCCAAGGGTGAACCTCCTTACATGGTCAAACCAAATGGGGAACGCATTGAGTTAGTTGTCAGAGATTACGTACCCTACTTTGCAAACAATTCAAAGACGATTTCCACTCCATCAACTCAGCCTAGACCAAGTATCGCCACCCCGGCATCAGATGAAGCTCAACAATCTCCGGAGCCCGATGGGGACATTGAAATCATTGGTGATGACCCCATGGGTATCAATGTTGACTTACCGGAGCCCCAGCCCTTGGAGGCTGAGGAGGTTGATGTTCCTGATGCCGACCGGGAGGTTGAGCCGCCTGTGGAAGGATCCAAGGGTAGCAGTAGTAATGTCCATGATGATGGTGCTCGTAAGAGGTCACTCGGGGAGAAAGAATTGAAGGAAGAAGCTAAGTCCATTCGACATATGCTGACTCACATCCCTAAGAATCCCTTTTGCGACATATGTACCAGAGCTAAGATGTTCAAGCCACCCTCAAGAGCTGTAGGCGGATCAACCAAAGTTAAAGCTGAGAAATTTGGTGACCACATCACTGCTGATTTCATTGTCACCAGAGATGATGAGTTGGGAATCGATGATGAGAAAAGTGCACTCGTAGTGAAGGACATAGCGACAGGATTTATGTATGTCTACCCCAATGCCAGACGAACCACCAATGCTGCTATCTTGGCAATCAAGCACTTTGTTGGACATGAAGATAAGATAGGAGTATTCTACAGTGACAATGCACCCGAGCTGATCTCAGCAATGAAGATCCTTCAGTGCCGTCATGTTTTAAGTAGAGATTACATATCCAAGTCCAACGCCCAAGCCGAGAGAGCAGTCCGGTCAGTCCTCGAAGGCACTCGTGTCAATCTGCTCCAAGCAGGTCTGAATCATTGGCACTGGCCACATGCTGCCCGACATTGGTGCTTCATGCAGAATGTCATAGCAACGGGGGGAGACAAATCACCATGGGAATTACGTTTTGGATCGAGGTTTGATGGTCCCCTCATTCCTTTCGGTTGTCTTGTCGACTATTGGAATGGTCCGAGAAAGAAGAACAAAGAGGGACTTCGGTTCGACCCAACATCGAGCCCTGGTGTATTCCTTGGCTATGCCATTCACCCCGAATTCATGTGGAGAAAAGAATTCATGGTTGTACCTACAAAGGATCTTATTGAAAATGAATCCAATGGTACTGCATCAATCTTGCGAGTAATCAAGATCAACAAACCGAGTGATACGCAATTTCCTCTCCAAGGCAGAACGAC